AGCTCTACATGCAGCAAATCAGATCAATGACACAGTAGCAGAAAAATCAAAGCAACAGTACACTACTTTAACCACAGCTGCCCACAATGAGTTCAAGGCTCGATTTCAAGCATATGTTGCAAAACAAAATGAAGTTGGACTGGATATGTTTTACAGTGGTATTTTGATGATGTCCACCAAATGTTTCCCAAGATCTGTGGACTGTTGTCAAAATGTGTCTTATCCTGTCTCATGGTAATGCTTCTGTTGAAAGTGGATTTTCAGTTAATAAGTTAATGTGAATTGAGAACTTGCATGAAGAAACTGTTGTCTGTCAACGTCAGATTTACAATGCTGTCTTGGAACTGTGGAGGACTTGCATCTGTTGTAATCAATATGAATCTGTAGCACTCAGTCAGGCATGCTCATGCATGCTACACAGAGCACTTGGAGGCTAAACACCATAAGTGGCAAGAAGAAATTCAGAAGAAAAGAAGAAACTTGAGGGACAAATTAAGCATCTTGAAAATGCTTAAAAAAGAGTGAGAGAAGAAGCAAAAATGCAAGAGGAAACAATTGATGAGAAGCTAAAAGAGTTACAAAATAGAGAAAACTGTAGAAGTGATAGTTTTATCTTAAATCTTTATTCTTTAAAAACAGATTACTTGTATTCTAATTTCTAACTTGATTATTACTGCAATTTCAAAACTAAGTTTTGTAATGTGGCTTCAGAGAAACCATTTTAGATGGAATGTTTATATAATTTTTAGTGTACCTTTAAAACAATAACAAAAATGTTATGTCATTTGTTAGCATTCAGAGTTTACTTGAATTGAAGTTTGTATCTTGGTATAATTTTTGGTGTAATTGCAAAATAGGTGTTACTGCAGTTAATGTTGAAAAAAGCAGATATTAAATCTCTTACTTTGACAGATATTTTTGCCATTGAGACTTGTGTAGCTGTAGAGTGGAACATTTCATTAAGACTTGCATTAATGCAACACGATCTATTCATTCGTGGTTATATTTGAATGGTGGTCAGGGAAATTGACAAATGTTGGCCCGGGAAAGTCAGGAAAATGAAAAAAATACAATTCCAGTGGCTACCCTGTGAAAGCTTTCCAGCAAACAAACTCTGCCTTTAAGCCTTCCACTGTCCTGTGAGAATTCTAATTAATACTATTTAAAATGACATGAGTCCTATTTGGTCATTAAGGAAGTGTGCGGAGCCCATACCTGTTGAAGGGAGCATAGTCACTCCCCCCCCCCAAAAAAACTTGGCTATTATGATTGTTATCAACCCTAAGCAACAAGCTGGCAGATCTGAGGGGGCCATTTTTACTGACATTTGCTGAAGCCACCATTTTTTACAGTTCCATTGGTTTTCATATAAGGGAAGCAGCAGTACTCCTGATGCACGCCTTGAGAGCAAGAAGAAAACCATCCTGAAGGACCCAGTATTTACTTGCTTGTTTGCAATAAATGCAGAACTGTTTTACCTGAGGCCCCAGTTCTTAAACAAGAATAAAAAGAGCACTAGAATAAAGGCCAAATTGGTTGCATAGGAGATAATGCATTGTATAGTGGGCAGTTATAATACAAATATTACCAACATGTTCTTCACTTCTTAATAATTAGGTTTAAGAAATATGACCTTTTTAATTTTCCTTGAAATTCTAAATAAAAATGGATGTTGAGAGAAAATAATATACAGTACTTTGATTCTCTCCTAGTTAACACAGAGACATCCTGTGCCACTTGGACCACTTTCATCTCTGAAGACAGGAATAATGTGGCAAATCAGTCCATCTAGGAAAGTGTTCCTCCTTGCATAGATGAATAGGATTCATTTTCTTTGCCAGGAATGAAAGCCCCTTACTGATCAGGGAAAAATTTGAGCAGCCTCACATCCCTGCTCCCACCCGCCCACCTAGCACTTCACGTGCTCTTTTTCTTGGGAGGTGTTAAAAACCTTTGTACAATATTTTCATGTCTCGCTTTCCTAAGTATCTCTGCTACCTTATGAGATATGGAAGACAGTAGAGAAGTTGATTTCTGTTACATATCTTTAATAAACTTCTGCAGTTAAACTCCACCTTCTATCTGTGTCCTCAATCCGTTTATTGTAGTCTCGTAAGATCATTAGCTGGCTGGATAGCTTAGTGAGTTACGTATTTGGCTGCAGAGCCAGAAGGTAAGAGTTTCGTTCCCCACTGAGCTTTCCAGAAGAGCCAGCTTGTGTGGCCTTGTGCAAGCTGCACAATCCCAGGATGCCCAGAAAAAGGGGTGGTAAACCACTTCTGAGTATTCTGTATGTGGGAAACCCTGAAAAGGATTGCCATAAGTCAGAATTGACTTGATAGCACACAATTATAATATTAAGAGATCATTGGAGCACAGAATTCTTCGATAGCACCGGGGGCTCGGAGCAACAATATCGCTGTCCACAAAGTCGTGTCGCAAAGACCACAGGCCAGCAACGATGGGACCGGTATTTGGCTTTTCCCTACAAATGATCTTAGAGTACATGTTATTTTTACTCTGCGATCTGGGGGCAAGGAGGTATACTTCTCACAGTTAGGAATGAAATTGGTGTGTAGTTATAGTTTCCATGGATGATGAGAATCATCCTTGTTGCAGTACTAAATGAAAGGTAATTGAGGTATCATAGATCATCTACTTGTAAGCTTCATTTTTTTAAATATGTTTCTTGTTCAAAAGAAGGTACATGTTTGATCTGTGAACATTCATATGGATTTATTGGTACTGATTCTTCATTTTTCAGATGGTAGTTTGAATTTTGGGATAAAAACACTTGAAGAAATCAAGTCAAAGAAAATGAAGGAAAAATCAAAACAACAAAGTGGTGAGTTCATTCTTTCCTCCAAACCTCTGGACTTCATATGTTCAATGATATCTCAAAGTGTCCTGTTGGATCCCTGAAGTTGCTAGATGACTAATGTGCCCCGGTCTTCAAACGGCCTTCCCGATGGACAACAAGGCCTCCCAGCAGCAACAAGCTTGGCTTGTCGAACCTCGGGACTACGGGGGGAGATCATCTACTTGTAAGCTTCATTTTTTTAAATATGTTTCTTGTTCAAAAGAAGGTACATGTTTGATCTGTGAACATTCATATGGATTTATTGGTACTGATTCTTCATTTTTCAGATGGTAGTTTGAATTTTGGGATAAAAACACTTGAAGAAATCAAGTCAAAGAAAATGAAGGAAAAATCAAAACAACAAAGTGGTGAGTTCATTCTTTCCTCCAAACCTCTGGACTTCATATGTTCAATGATATCTCAAAGTGTCCTGTTGGATCCCTGAAGTTGCTAGATGACTAATGCTGCTACATATCTAATTTATATAGTTACATTTATTACATTCTTCCAGCCTATTGCCATATATAATGTTGGATGTATCTGTGGTGTTCAGGACTGAGTCATTGTTGAATTGCTTCAGTTTGTTTTAAAATATAAATAGGGCATAATCTTACTTCTGGAAAATTAACAGTCTATTCCTAAGGCTTTTTTCATTGCAAATATCATGATGCGATACTGACAGATATAGAAATTGTCTTGTAGCTTCATTGCAAGAAAAGTCACTTAGCTGCTTTTTACAGAAATGCACAGTTTGAGGATTGACTTAAAATTTCTTTGTACAGTAATAAATTGTAAGTGGAGTTGGGTAATCGTGAAAACTAAGTTGTTAACTTCATATAAATATATGAATATATATGAATGGGAAATCCCACATCCTTAGGAAATCCTGTATCCTCTACAGGAGTGAAATACTGTATAGTTTATATCCTACCAGAGCTCTTCTAATATGACTATATAATGGATTTGTTTGAATATTCAGTGTGCAGTCTTAAAACAAGCCTATTCTGAAGTGAGTGTCACTTATTTCAAAGAAACTTATCCCCAGCCAGACTTCTTAGTGGGGTGAGGAAACATCAACATATCATTCCCACTTTGGCCGCCTTACACTGGCTGCCCGTTCAGTTCCGCGTTGATTTCAAAGTTCTAATGCTTGCTTATAAAGCCCTAAATGGTTCAGGGCCTCGATATCTGGCAGAATGCCTTCTCCCACCTAAATCTACTCGTATCACTCGATCTAGCCAGGAGGTGAGGTTGAGGAGCCTAACGCCAAGGGAGGCCCGGAAGGAAAAAACAAGAAACCGGGCCTTTTCGGCAGTGGCTCCTCGCCTTTGGAATAACCTCCCTTCTGAGATTTGTATGGCCCCTTTGCTGGGTATTTTCAAAGGCCAATTGAAAATCTGGCTGTTTAGGCAAGCTTTCCCTCCAGCCACCACTTGATTTACTTTTTTCCGTTTTGAGCATTGTCTATTAATGTGTTACTTTGTTTCTATATTTTAAAATAATACTAATAAATATTGTTTAGTGTGTGGAACTGCAGCCTTGAAGTGCTCCATATATTCTAAAATAGTAGTAGTAGAAATTGATGTAGCTTTGTTTTGTTTTGCTCAGAGTGTCCTGAAGTCACTGATCAAACCCAGACCCATCCAGGCCCAGTGAAAGAAAATGCACGAACAGTGGTCAGAACTGTAACTTTGTCGTCAAAGCAAGGTAACATTTGATTCTGCCCATTTGTGTACAAACAGCTCCTGCAATTCAGTTGTTTGTGCAGATATCCTTCCTCTTTTAATGATTAGGAGTGACGATTTGTTACTGCTGTCCCCACAACATGACGGAAGTATATCTGATAACAGTTGTCCTATTCTAGAATTTCATCACTAGATTGCCTCCATATGGGCGTAGGGGAGGCCCTGAACTGAATTGTTAGACCCAGTTAGAACAAATTCAGTCAGTTGGATTTACATAAATGCTGACACAATCTACTATTCAAGTAAGATGCATTTTAGTACAACTCCAGTCTAGGTTATTTACACTTCAGTCGGTGGGATTTTGTGTACATAATTGAATGTGTTAATTCTGCTTGAAAATCAAACTTTAACTTTGTGAGCGTTTTGACAGGTGAGGGACCACGGATTCGACTGACCCTTGCAGAGAGACTAGGAAAACGAAAGCCTCCCACAGGTGAGAATTTACATTTGGAATAAAAAAAATTGTCAGACTGTTGGTTGTTTTCTTTCCCCTGATTATGCACAATCCTTGCATTTGCAAAATAATGACAATATGTCTATCTTCTTTAAACTATGAAATATGCCAATTATGGCACCAAGTAGAATGTGTAGGAAGAATTATATCACTTTTCTGTTTCTTGGATTGCAAAAATCTTTTGGGGATCAAAGTGTTACTTGCATATCTTTGTTTTAGATTAACATGCCTTGCAAGACGAAATTAATTCGTTCTGTGTGTCGTATTGCAAAAATTTCATCTTGTGAAGCGTAGTACTAATGGTTGTGCCGTTCTGTGTGTCGTATTGCAAAAATTTCGTCTTGTGAAGCGTAGTGCTAACGGCTGTGCGATTTAAAACAATCCAAAAAGAAAAAATTCATCTTGCAAGTCACCGAAAAATCACAAAACGCTTTTGTCTTGCGAGTTTTTCGTTGCGTGAGGCATTCGTCTTGCGAGGCATCACTGTATCTTTGGTCACATGGCCAGTGTGATTTAGACACGGAACGCTGTTTACCTTCCCACCGAGATGGTACCTATTTATCTACTCGCATTTGCATGCTTTCGAACCGCTAGGTTGGCGGGAGCTGGGACAAGCAACGGGCGCTCACTCCGTCGCGTGGATTCGATCTTACAACTGCTTGGTCTTCTGACCCTGCAGCACAGGCTTCTGCGGTTTAGCCCACAGCGCCACCACGTCCCTCCATTTAAAACAATCCAAAAAGAAAAAATTCGTCTTGCAAGTCACCGAAAAATCACAAAACGCTTTTGTCTTGCGAGTTTTTCATTGCGTGAGGCATTCGTCTTGCGAGGCATCACTGTATCTTGGTTTTCCAGGCAAAACACTTCAGGCAGCTTACAGTATCATATTAATAATAGCTATAATTGCTACAAAATTTAGGGGTGTATGTATAACCTGTATGTAAGTGGTATATGCATTTTGAAGTTTTTTTAAAAAAACCCAGATCTGTAAAATAAACTTCTTTTTCCTTTTAATCACAAGTTGCTGAGAGTGGTCTTCCCTTAAAGCGTAGCCTTGCTGAAAGACTGGGAAGGAAAATAAATTTGCCAGAAAATGCAGAAAACACACCGAAGAGAGGTATGGCTGTTGAACCCATAAAATGTATTTTCTTTGTTTCAGCTACAGAGAATCCAGTTATTATCGTCATCTAGAGTAGATCCATTGAATCAGTGGAATTTACAAAAATGTTGACTCACTACTCGGCAGCTGATTTAGTCTCTTTACTAGCAGTAGGATTTACTAGCCTTTGTATTTGATATTTTTACAAACTTTTTTTTTTTTTGGGTGGAGAGGCAGCAGATCATACAAGACATGAAATGTAACGGTGTCTTTCTTTTTCTCATGTATGCAAGTGTCTTTGGACTAAAACTTTATTAAAATAATCAGGGCCAATATATCTTCAAGGACTGCAGAATTTTTTATAATGAGAAAACCATATAGACCAGTGGTTCTTAACCTTGGGTTACTCAGGTGTTTTTGAACTGAAACTCCCAGAAACCCCAGCCAGCACAGCTGGTGGTGAAGGCTTCTGGGAGTTGCAGTCCAAAAACACCTGAGTAACCCAAGGTTAAGAACCACTGATATAAACAATTCCTTGGAATAAAATTGTGAATGCATCCTTATTGTTACCAAACGTAGCCATTCTGTACCAGAAATGATTCTATTTTTTGCTTTAAAAGAACTAAATTTTTTGGAAATATGCAGATATGATATTTTTTTATCTTTCTATAGTGCAAGTTCCTAAATCTCTTAAAGAAAGACTAGGATTATCGTCTGAACAGAAGAATGTGGAAACAGGTACTAGATGGTTTAATTCGAATACCTTGGGATCCTTCTTTTCAAAATCTTCTCTAGGTGGCTATTTTGTCTTAGTGCTGTCCTATTCATGTTTTTCAGAAGCAAGTTCCATTGCGTTTAATGGGTCTGTTCCCAGTCAAATGTATAGAAGATTGTTGCCTACCACCTTTCTATATCTTACTAATTTGTTCTCACAGTTGCTTTCTGTGCTAAGGGATGATATTGATCTTTGAGGGAAAATCTATATAGATTGTACAGAATTTAAGATTTTGATAAAATAACACTTTTAATTCCTTCTAATGTGTTAGTTTTTTGTTCTGATGATGTAGAGAATGCTGCCAAACCAGTGGGTGAAATCCGTGTGAAAACACTTGAAGAAATCCGTTTGGAGAAAGCCAGCCAAAGAAAAGGAGGAGAAATTCAGCCAGGGCCAAAGGCTGCAGTAGCATGTACAGCAGATGGCCCCAATCCAGTGGCAAAACCATCTCTTCCAATCAGGATTAAAACCTTTTCTGAAGTCCTGGCTGAGAAAAAACAGAGGCAAATGGAAGAGGAGCGGATAAAAGCTGAAAAAGAGAGTGAATGCTTCTGGGAGTTGCAGTCCAAAAACACCTGAGTAACCCAAGGTTAAGAACCACTGATATAAACAATTCCTTGGAATAAAATTGTGAATGCATCCTTATTGTTACCAAACGTAGCCATTCTGTACCAGAAATGATTCTATTTTTTGCTTTAAAAGAACTAAATTTTTTGGAAATATGCAGATATGTGTGACATCTATCTTTCTCTAGTACAAGATTAATATTTTCAAATGGATTTTCCAAACTTTTTTTGGTTGCAAGGATTAAGGAATAGCCTTCGATCATTGCTTGCAGTTTCTTTTTGGTGGTTCTTGTAAATAGGAAAAAACCACATAAGAATTTGATTTCAAACAAGAAACTTTCAAATAAAGCCAGTCAAATGTATAGAAGATTGTTGCCTACCACCTTTCTATATCTTACTAATTTGTTCTCACAGTTGCTTCCTGTGCTAAGGGATGATATTGATCTTTGAGGGAAAATCTATATAGATTGTGCAAAAGAGCCTCGTAGCGCAGTGGTTAAAATGCTGTACTGCAGCTAAAACTGTGCTCACGACCTGGGGTTCAAATCCCAGGTAGCCGGCTCAAGGTTGACTCAGCCTTCCATCCTTCCGAGGTCGGTAAAATGAGTACCCAGCTTGCTGGGGGGCAATGTGTAGCCTGTATAATGAAATTGTAAATCTCCTGGAGAATGCTTGTAGCACTATGGGGCGGTATATAAGTCCAAAAATAAATAAAAAATAAAAATAAAATTTAAGATTTTGATAAAATAACACTTTTAATTCCTTCTAATGTGTTAGTTTTTTGTTCTGATGATGTAGAGAATGCTGCCAAACCAGTGGGTGAAATCCGTGTGAAAACACTTGAAGAAATCCGTTTGGAGAAAGCTAGCCAAAGAAAAGGAGGAGAAATTCAGCCAGGGCCAAAGGCTGCAGTAGCATGTACAGCAGATGGCCCCAATCCAGTGGCAAAACCATCTCTTCCAATCAGGATTAAAACCTTTTCTGAAGTCCTGGCTGAGAAAAAACAGAGGCAAATGGAAGAGGAGCGGATAAAAGCTGAAAAAGAGATTCCCGTGAAACCAAAACATGAGGATGAACTGCAGAAGCAGGACTCTTTGGTTCCAACTCTTGGTACCCAAAGAAAATTAGAGGAGCCTTTGGGAAAAGCCAAGGACTTTGGGGAGGTGCGCATCAAAACCTTGGAGGAAATCAAGCAGGAGAAAGCTCTTCGAATGCAGCAGAGTGTGGACAACAGCTCAAAGACGCAACAGCAACCTGAGCATGCTTCACTTGGGAGGAAATTGCTTTGCATTACAAAGCCAACAGGTAATACAATTGCCCTCGACAGCTTTGCACTCAGTTTACTTGAATACAGACATATTATTCTTGATAGAATAAAAAGTATGCAGATAAACATCTTAATGAACATGGTTCTTCAGTGGATTTAGGACTGGGTCATGTGCAAGACTTGATGTTGCTGTATTGTGGATACCCAAAGTAAAAACTGAGGAAAGGAAGCACACCTACATTACCTTTCTATTTCTCTAATTTTAACATAGCAGTAGAAAAAGCATAGTTCTTAACACCCTATTTCTTTCTAATACTAATGTTTTAGTTTTGTCAACAAATTCTCCTCTGCACATGAACCTTCCTGCCTGGTTTTTTTGTTATCTCTCTCCCCCCATCTGAAAGCAGAAAGGTTGTCCAAGATGTTTTGGCAATTGAAATGATTCATTTACCGAGATAAGGTGTGTTTGGCCTTCAATTTAAGTAGGTTGGGCACATGGTCTATCCAGCTGCTTGTGGAACTGGCTGTGACAAACTGGAACACCCCAAAACTTGTATTTTTAAAAAACCCTTAGGCTGCTAATCTGCAAGTGAAGCAATAAATCAAATCAGTAATATGTAGGCATGCCACTGTGAGATTCGTTTACTTAGTCCATAGCTGGATGGAATATGTGTTCCTCCAAATTTTTCTTTTTCATTTGTTCAAGAAACTAGAAGCAATGTCTTGCATGTAGCGGGGAAAGAGGTGTTAGAGGGCCAGGGGTCAGGAGAGGCAATTCTCATTTTATCATAATGAATCTGATGTTTTAACAGCTCCTGGTGGAAAGGAAGAGAAAATTGTATCAGAGGTAAAGTCCCCTCCACAAGCTGCTGCAACAGGTGCTGCTGCAAAGGTGAGTTTTCCTATGCTGTGTACGAAACGGGCCTTGAAAATTGTGACTGTCCCTTGTCAGCCATTATATTCTAGCACCTTGAAAATTGCCATTTAGTATCTAAATCAGGAGTGGTGTGAGATACAAAGATACAAATCCTGTATCTAATAAACCATTAATTATTGGTATCTGTCAGGTGCAATCTATTTTGTCCGTTTAGGTGTTTATAAACAAAGATAGTGTTTAATACGAATTTTTATTGAGGTTTGTTAGTGTAACCCAGCCTCTACTACATGGTTAAGCAGCTTTTTTAAATGTTTAGGGACTGCATTTCCTCAGCGGTATTGGGGCTATAAGCAAAGGGTGGGCAGAACAGAAGGTAGTGGTTGATGGTAAAAATGAGGGGGTCTGGCTTCTCATTTTAAACTAGAGACCTGCAGTTTAGTAGATGTGAATTGAGAAGGAAATAAGCTTTGCTCTGTGGAGAGCGTATATTAGTTTTCATTGAAAATTTTATCTTTATCTTATTTCCAGATTTGTATCCAGCCTTTGAATGACAATCCAAGCAGTTCACATTCAAAAGTCTATGTGAAGAGTCTAGAAGAAATAAGAAAGGAGAAGCAATCATTAAAACAAAAACAGAGGAAACCTCAAGATAAACAAATGACTGTGCCATTTGCTGGGGTCGAAGTGGCAGAATCAGTGGTTCCAGTGACTGCAAATCCTGAGCCTCCACTAACATTTGGGAAAACTCACCCAGTTACAAAGAGGCTGCTGGTGAGATCCGAGGAAACAGTGCTAGAGACTGTGGGATCAGAGGAGTTGAAAGTTTCATCCCAGCCTGTGGAACGAAAGGTTAAAGGTAAGTGACATCTTGATGGTTACCTACATTATTGAAAAGACTGACTGCTTAACCTGGTGACAAAAAAGATAGAAAGGAAGCAGATACTTCAAGGAATCATGAACCACATGCTTGGATACTTATCAAGTCAGTGGATTAAATAAAAAGGTTTATATTTTTTCCTCAGGTGCATTTCCTTCATATGTCTTAAGTATAAAGAAGAAAGCAGTAATACAAAAAGATAGTAGATGCCAGCCATGAAGACTTGACATTTGTCTGTAGATCCATAGAAACAGTGGAGTTATACAGATTTTGCAAGCTGTAAAGGTCTTGAGTCTCTCTGAAGTAGATTCAAGCTTGTCTTCTGATACTTGATGTCATAGATTTAAAGGCATTGGTGTCCCAATAGTGTTCTGAAGTAACACAGCCAACAAACTTATTTAATGTCCATGAAAAGTCAAGATCAGTCCATCTTGGCTGCTATTAAACTATGAGCTAGAAATATTTAGGGCTTCAGTGGTGAGAAGCAGATGTAAAGGAATGAGCAGGCACAAAGGGTCCATTGGACAATTTTCTTTCCCTAAGTCATGTAACTGATGATTCATCCAAGGAAAAGGCAAAAACAAAACTGGCAGTTTAAAAGTTATTTTAGAAGGTGCAAGAGGAGCTGGACCTTGTTTCAAGCAAGAATTGTTGTTCTTGGAGGCTTCTAAGAGTAGCAGTTCTTTTCTTTTCCACTCACAATTTTGCAGTTGAGGAATAGGCAGGAGAAACCATCAAATTGCTATCGTAGCTGAATATGGTTCATAGGATACATGATTCCTGCTTTGATCTGTAGTATTAATTAGCCAAAGTTTGCAAATTGCTGGAATTCCTGGAAACTTTTTACCTAAGTTAGTTATTTGCCCCCACTCAGTATGCTGGCACATATCTTGGCTTGCTTCTTTTTTCAGCTACTGCAAGGTAACAGGCCTTTGAGCTGGGAACTTGTCAGGATGAAATGCCATTGTTTCCCAGCTGCGTTGCTCTGCCCTGATGATGAAGAGGCAGTCCTAGTCCTAGTTGCATTGCATCAAAAAGCCCTTTTCTTGCAGGATGCTGTTTCCTGGTGCAACTGTATTTTTCATGGAGGCAAAAAATGATGTGTGAGAAATACACTGAGCATGTGGATTGTGGGAACATATATGTTAAGATTTAGAAACTAATTATCTGAGTGTTTTTGTAATTTATAAATTGTGTCACACTTTTAAAATCAACTTTTTTGAGGAAATAAACTGTTTTCCAAAGGTACAGTGCTTTTCTTAGAACAACTGCTGAAGAAATTAATATGTTTATTTAAATGTCTATACTACCCATCTGGCCTAAGACCACTCTGGGCGGTTTACAAGGCAAAAATAAAACAATGCTTGTAACAAGGGACGTGGTGGCGCTGCGGGCTAAACCGCAGAAGCCTGTGCTGCAGGGTCAGAAGACCAGCAGTCGTAAGATCGAATCCACGCGACGGAGTGAGTGCCCGTCGCTTGTCCCAGCTGCCGCCAACCTAGCGGTTCGAAAGTATGCAAATGCAAGTAGATAAATAGGGACCACCTTGGTGGGAAGGTAACAGTGTTCCGTGTCTAAGTCACACTGGCCATGTGACCACGGAAGATTGTCTTCGGACAAAACGCTGGCTCTATGGCTTGGAAACGGGGATGAGCACCGCCCCCTAGAGTCGAACACGACTGGACAAAAATTGTCAAGGGGAACCTTAACCTTTACCTCAGTGGTTCTTAACCTTCGTTACTCAGATGTTTTTGAACTGCAACTCCCAGAAACCCCAGTCAGCACAGCTGGTGGTGTAGGCTTCTGGGAGTTGCAGTCCAAAACTCCTGAGTAACCCAAGGTTAAGAACCAGTGCTTTACCTTTACCATAACATCAAATGTCATTCTGTATTCACTGAGTGGGGTGACTTGTGGCACCGTGGTTAAACTGTGGTCCTGCAGCCAAAACTCTGCTCACGACCTGGGGTTCAGTCCCAGGTAGCCAGCTCAAGGTTGACTCAGCCTTCTATCCTTCCAAGGTCGGTAAAATGAGTACCCAGCTCGCGGGAGGGGGGCATTGTGTAGCCTGCATAATTAAATTGTAAACCACCCAGAGAGTGCTTGAAGTGCTATGGGGCGGAATATAAGCAGTACGCTTTGCTTTTGCTTTGTTTTCTTGTCCCAGCCAAACCTAAAGTGAATGTGAAACCATCTGGAGTGAAACCTGGATTTCCAGCAAAGCAGGCACTGAAGAGGAAAGCACCAGAGAGTCATCCTTCTGTCGTTGCAGCAGTGAAACCACTGAGCCCCATCCAAAGCACCAGTATGAAAGAGTTGCCATCCGAAAACCCTGCTGTGGTAAGACGACTAATTGATCCTCTTGGATTCCATCAACTGAAATCCTGTGATAACAGAGGGCATTAAACTTTCTTGGGCAAACCTGGGCAAAGTGTGGGCCACATATGGCCCGTGAGCCGCTCCAGTCCAGCCTGCCTGTCGCCGCTCCTGTCTGGCCCGCCCATCACCGCTGAGTGAGCTAGGGCTCTGGTCACCCAGCACAGCAGTAAGTAAAACTTGTGAGATCCGACCCTGGGATCTCACAAGTTTTGACTGTTACTCTTGAGCCGCAGGCTGCGAAGTCTGCGGCTCAAGAGGCCGGAAGCGATCCTTACGCAGGTGATGTGATGACGCATCATACCAGCACAGCAGTAAGTAAAACTTGTGAGATCCGACCCTGGGATCTCACAAGTTTTGACTGTTACTCTTGAGCTGCTGTTACTCTTGGGCCTATTACTACCCACAAATTGGGGGCCTATTATTATCCAGAGATCCGACCCTGGGATCTCACAAGTTTTGACTGTTACTCTTGAGCTGCTGTTACTCTTGGGCCTATTACTACCCACAAATTGAGGGCTTATTACTATCCACCTAATGGGGACCTATTTTTAAGTAAAGTTGGTTCAGCCCCTAAACACAGTTCAGATTTTTCATGTGGCCCCATATAGAAATTAATTGCCCACCCCTGGCCTTAGGGCTTGCATGGTTCCTGCTTTACCCTTTATGTTTTCAAGACCCAGTAAGTAGCCAGTCTGCTTGGGGAGGGAATCAGTTTTTACATTTATGTTGAGAGAAGCTAAACAACCTTTTCCGAATAGTAAGCGATAAAAGATTCACATTGAGCAATAAAGGGGCATGAAGACAGATGAAAAATGGAGAAAGTGCTTCTCTGTATATGCATGAGACAGCAAAAGGCTGAGTTGATTTTTTTGTCTTTTTCTCTCTTTCTCTTTAGGCAAATGCTCCCAGGTTTCCAGAGAACACTGTTGCCACTGTTTCTGAAAGTGTCTGTTCTAATAGGTAATGATTCCATATATTTATAGTCACATTAGCCAACCTCGGAATTGTTTTAGAACAGCTATGCAAACACTGGAGTGGTTAGTCACCAACACTGAAATTAGATGCTAGAAAGGGTGGATATAGGCCTTTAGCTTTGAATTTGAGAATAAAGGTCCAGATAGTAAACAGCCATTGGGAATAGAACAAAATACAGTGGACACTCAACTTACAAAGGTCCCTACTTACGAAAATTTCAAGATATGAAAGACAGGGGAAAAGGGAAAGGGCGGGAAATTCAAAGCCACCCCCGCTGCCCTCTGCCTACCGTCCTCACTGCCCTCTGCCTTCTGTTCCCACAGGGACAGAAGGCAGAGGGCACCAGAGATGGGAGACAGGGACAGCTAAAGGGTTTTTGAAGCTCGAAAAGCCAAAAGCTGTTGAAGCTCGGAAAGCCAAAAGCTGCTCCGCGCCCGCTTCCAGCTCTTTGAGCTGCTCCTCTCCCGTTGCCGGATTTTGGCTTTCCAAGCTTCACAACTTCCTTCGCTGTCCGTGTCTCCTGTCCCTGGTGCCCTCTGCCATCTGTCCCTGATGGGAGACAAGGACAGCGAAGGGAGTTGTGAAGCTTGGGAAGCCGAAAGCCGGAAGCGGGGGTGGAGCGGCTCAGAAAGCTGGCAGCGGGTGTGGAGCAGATTTCGGCTTCCAAGCTTAAAAAACCCCTTTGCTGTCCCTGTCTCCCATCTCTGGTGCCCTCTGCCTTCTGTCCCTGTGGGAACAGAAGGCAGAGGGCAGTCAGCGGGTGCAGCTTTGGAAGCCTGGGATCTTTTTTTCTTTGCCTGGATGGATTAAATGGTTTTCAATGCATTCCTACGGGAAATGGACGCTCAACCTACAGACTTTTCAATTGGTTTTCAATGCATTCCTACGGAAAATGGACGCTCGACCTAAAGACTTTTTGATCTGCGGCCACTGTTCCAATACAGATTAATTCCGCAAGTTGAGGGTCCACTGTAAACTTAATTGCAGAAGAACTTGGAATGGGAGATATCTAGACTGAAAATTCCAAGTCTCTTGTGGCAGATTCTGAAAAAAAAATAGTATTAGAGTAGTAATTGATAATGTGTTTTCTAACTAAGTAAATTGGAAGAGTACAAATAGTGAATTATTGGATGTTACTTGTGAATGCTGCTAAGCTAAAGAGAGTTTTGCTCTGGGATAGAGTGCATAGGTGCATCAAATGTCTGCTGACAGTGAGCTGCCTTGTTAAGTTACAAGTTACTTCTATCTTTGAAATTACAAAGGAACTTCAGATGACAAAGTCTGGTGCCTTTATTGTAGCTAGCCTGGGAAGATTGCCAAATCATCAAGTATTTGTTGTTCACTTAAGCCTATGAACCACCTCTTCCTAGAAAAATAGCTATATTAATTAATTGTAACAAAATCAAAGAAAACAGTCATACATTTCCTTAAAAAGGAATGCATTTACTTTAGTATCAGTGTCTCCTTCTGCATTTGAAGCTGTCTTTCTGTTTAAAGGTTGTGCCACAATAAATGTGTTTCAGGTGTCACAATATTTTTTACCAGGTTTTATTGAAAGTGAAGCAAAGGATTACATAGCAGAAAGTTTGCAAAATTTAGTAAAACAGAAACTTACAAGTGGAAATTTGTTAGGGTGTTGTGTTAAAACAACAAAAAGTCTTGTGATTCTTTAAAGCTGAACAAGTTTCATTTGGCATAAGCTTTTATGGAGTATATCTGACTTCATCTAAAGAAGTGGGCTGCAGTCCACAAGCATACCAAATAAGAAGTGTTAGGCTGCATGGCCGGTGGTTGTTTTAGTGAAACAGCTGGTTGTAGCAATCATACTTGAAATCTCTTATATCCTTTACTTATCAGAGGAAACTACAATCTGTGTTTATTCCAGAAGCTGACTACTAGACAAGGAGCTCTGAAAGTGTTTAGACAGGATCATTGTGTCTCCCTGGCAGACTTGTAACCTTTTCATTGCTGTTTTCTTTGTGAAGCTCTGGGCTCCATCTGCATGACCAGGCGGCCTCCACCTTACAGGCAGAGATAGCACACCCAATTCCTTCTCCTTCGCCAGCAAAGATACGCAGACTAAGCTCTACAGGATCTGTGAAGACATCCTTAGTTGAAGATGACTTTGAAAAACTGATTTGGGAAATCTCTGGAGGCAAATTAGAAGCTGAGATTGATCTAGACCCAGGCAAAGATGAAGATGAACTCTTGCTTGAACTTTCTGAAATGATTGACAGTTGATTTTTTAAATATTATTATTATTAGAAGAAGAAAACATAAGCTGTATATTTTGTTCGATAACCAAGAATACCCCCTTTTTGCTGAGGAGTTATGACAAGTCTTAAAGCACACTTGAACTGGTTGAAGAAGTTGGTTGTCTTAGATTGTCCTGAATTGCCCTGCTGGTCAGAGAAATGCCCTCATATAACTCTCCTGTTACTATCTTATCCGCCTCAGATATGTTGAGAATGAAACCATAAATATTTCTGCTCTGTAAGATGTGAGACCATTCGTAATCCTACATGTACTTACTTCAGCAATGATTTTTATGGCGATTTTTTACTGAACTGTCCTCTTGGTTTTTGGCCGTGTGATTGGCTGACCATCTGTTAGCGTCCTACTGCACTGTGATTGTTTGAGGGTCATTTTTATGTTCTTGAGGTACATCTCTGTAAGTTACGCAGTAATTTTTAAACTCTAGATCAGCAGTACTATTCAGAATTTAGGAGAGGGAAGTAAATATTTGTGGACCAAACATGTTCCAGCATGAGTGGGTCTTTAGTACCTTATGAAGTAGATGGTAATGCAATACTCTCAACAAGTGCAGAACAGCATATTCAATTCTCTGTCCGTTCATTCTGTACTAGAGTGAGTGGTCTCCGCTATCAAGTATAACTTCATGAGGCAAAAGTTTAAAAATCCCCTTCATATCTTTGTATTCGTTCAGCAAATAATAATTAAAAACATGCCTTTAAAGGGCATGCAGAGTTATTCTCAGGTTCCCTTCTCCTCTCTAAAACTGAAAATGTGATGGCCCACTTTGCTGGCATTGCATGGGTCATTTTAAGCAAAGCTTTGGGATGCCGTCCTCTGGCAAGCCAAATAGTTTGAGAGCTTATTGTTTGTGTATGCAATTTTTCCTGCCAAATCCATGGAGTTCTCAACTGTGCTCTTGTGTTTGCCCAGTTATGAACTTTTTTTGGCACCCATCTTCAGCACTCTGCTCCACACAACTGAGCTGTATTTGTGGATTTTCCGTGAACTGAAGAGGATTTTCAGAGACTCGGGTGTATTGTCTACCCTACTATTGATATTTCTTCTGCCTGTTGTTTTGTATAATGACTTTTTCATTATTCTTACTACTGCTATTTTAATTAGTCCAATCTTGCCACTTAAACATCTAAAATTATAGAAATTGTACAGGATATGGTCACAGATGTATTCCTAGCAAGAAAAAAAAACTTGATTCCAATGTAAATATATTTAGTTTGACAGAGGGGGGAAACCCTATGCTTCACAATTCATTTTGAAGCACTGCATATAGGAGAGATTGAACAGAGACTTATTTTTTAAATTATTTAAAAATGGTTGTCTTGAATGAACTGCCAGCCTTCATATTGCTCCAAAGAAGTTGGAAAACAATGGTTGTCCAGCACATTGAAGGACGATAGAACTTCTGGGTGATTGTGAACAAAGAGAGGAATTTGAGAATGTGAAAGACATTTTCCATTTTGTTTGCAAAAGTTCTGGCTGCTTGAGCAGAATGTTCCATTTGTAGTTAGTTTTCTTCATTTTCTCTATTCTGTACAAGACAATTCCTCTTTGGCTTTTTACATACTCCGTTACATTCTGTACATTGTGTTTTGTTTTATATTTAAATCATTGTACCCAAATCAGGTATGTTTATCAGTACATTAACCAGTCCTACAAAACAAAATTATTTGTGTTTTGAATAAAGCTGATGTCAGAAATGTGTTCTAGTTTTTTTAATTGAATGTATATCCTACTTTTCTTCAAAAAAAAATAAAACCATCATCAGTAGAATATGTGGTGTAAAGTACAGGATTTTAAACAGATTTGGTAGTGAAGGTACTTAGATTATGTTCAGATTTGTCCCAAGTTTAAGTTTCTGTTAGTTGTAGTTGCATTCTGGAGGTATAAGATTTTTCGTTGCCACACTTTATTTAGAGATGATAACAAAGACCAGCATTCTTATATGTGCCTGTATTTATTTCAATATTTACAAAGGAGACTTTTTCCTGTTTCTGAAGTGCTTGTATATATTAGGATGAAAGTCCTAGATCTTTGCATGATTTTTTTCATGCCTGTTAACCTTTTACAAACTACTTTGCTCCCCAACCCTCCCTTATATATATATATAACCTATATATCTATATAGAGTCACCAGTGTGTGCTGCTCATTAGAGAATAAGCGGATAGGTACCTGTTCATAATGTACAATCTGATATCTGGCACAAGGGAAAGAAGGAAAATGGCAAAAGGGCTAATATATTATTTCTGATGCACATGCTTAGGTTAAGTTACAGCACAGTACTGGAACTCACCCCCACTACCATCCCAAACATCTGTTTTTGAGGAAGAGATTTTAATGGAGGAAAGCGTTGGCCTCATGGCAGCAATCTGAGCCAAGCAGTAAAAGCAAAGTGGCAGATTTCAAGTTGTAAGGGACCTGAGGGGTAGTCAAACTGGATGAGCAAATTTTACATGCAGGGATGTACTCTGATACAAGAGCAGAAAGAATGGGGCAAGGCCATTTTTTTAAAATGAGAGGTAGCTAAAGAAGCAAGCCAAAGGGAAGCATCAGAGAGACAAGTGAAGTATGTTGGATAGATGTGAGTATATCAAGGTAAGAGAATGGAATATCAGATTACCAGGCCAGTGAGCCCCCCCCCCATAGAGACAAAGGAAAAGGATGTCCTTATGTTCTTTGTGCACTTCAACCCCAAAATGAGAGGAGATAGTGGTGAAGAAGGTACTCTTAGAATGGGTTGTGGTCCACTTTTACTGTGTGATCATTCTATGGGATAATCTGCAGACATACTCAGTCTTCCAGGACTAAAATGTTATAGCTATAAGCAGCTGATTGTGGAAACAAGGATAATCTGAGTAAAGAACCGTTACTTCTTGAATCCAGGAAATACAGTTATCCAATTGGGCAGGAAAGTTTTTGGGTGAATGATAATTGCAGTAATGTCTTGTCATTCATGTGTCCTGTACAGCCTTACCTACTGCACATATGAGAGTGTTGGGGAAAACTTTTTCCATTCCTCATGCTACTGCTGAGATCTCTAGAAGACTCACTGCTAGATCTCTGGGCACTTCCCACCAGGTCTTGCACTGCTTCTTGGGCATGAACAAAAACAAAAAGGTCTACAAATGCAATGCTGGGGCCCCACCCCTTGCTTCTGAAGGCACATGAGTCCATTCTTGCCCCTCTTGGTGTTTTGGTATCTTGACAGTACTACATACATATATGTCACCACTTCCAAACTATGCTCTGGTCTCTGGAGAAGAAATGGAGACAGTCACCCTGGTTTCAAAGCCACATTACACCCAAAAGTCCAGCTTTCTCTTCTTCCAGCGGTACTTCACCTGAATTTGCCTGCCTATCTGTTGAGCCACAGATGCAGAGCAATCCCCTAAGTTTTTTAGTTAGTGTTGTGAGCCCTACAACTCAACACTGTACAAATACAATAGCTGTGTGGCAAGTCCTTTAATGTCTACATTCATAAACATCACAGAAATCATGGAACTGGCTTGCATGTTTCAACAGTAAACTAAATTCGTTGTTTGACCCTGGTATGGATGTGTGTGTCAGATAAGGCACCCTTGTTTAAATTTAGACAAGGGCAAGAAGACGATTCCACTTGCTTGTGGATTGTATTTCAAATCTCTTTAGTGCCTGCCCTGATTGCGTGGTCCAGTGTAGTCACAACTGCCATATCTTTCTGCCCACTCATAATTTAGAAACTCACAATCTGTTTATGACAATAGTAGAATCTATCTATCTATCTATCTATCTATCTTCTATCTATCTATCTATCTATCTATCTATCTATCTATCTATCTATCTATCTATCTATCTATCTATCTATCTATCTATCTATCTATCTATCTATCTATCTATCTATAGACTCTTTCTCTATGGGACACCAGTTGCTGGACCAACAATCTGAGTATTTGGGTTCAGTTTGCGCTGATTCCTCCATTACATCTGGTAAGCTCAGATAAATGCTGTTATGTAAGGACATGCATTACAAAAGCTCTGATTAGGTGATTACTGGAAGTATTTACCTGTGGCACAGGCTGCAGTTTCACTGGTATTGTTGATGCAAAGTTAACAGGGCTCCCACAGAAAACGAAACAGAATTGTATCCACAGATGAGAGAGAGCATTGAGAACAGGGCAAATTTTTCCTTTGACTGCTTAATTTTTTTTCTTTGTTTTAAAAAAGAAAGGACAGCCATTAGCTTACGCACACTTGATCATGCTTGCACTCCAGTTCACCAAGTTGGCATGCATGGATGCTTCTCTTTTAGATATTATCTGTCGGCCATATAAGGAAGGGAGAAGCCTGCACAGAAGTCCTTGATGAATTAAGGAACAAACTGATGACCCCTGTGGTTAGGACTAATTAGGCAATACAGGCAGTTTGCCCAGTTGGTTTAAGACAATGTGGAGCATAAAGGATTATTAAAAGATTTGAAAAGATCTGAGGACATGACAACTGGAAAAATCAAGGATGTCACATTCCTCCAAAATGAAGAATTTGTAGGAGGAAAATCCAGTGGTAAGGAGTCAGAAAACTCCAAATCTTCATTGTATTTGATTTCAGTCTACTAAGTGGGTATGTGATAAAGCACTTGAATACTTATTCTAGATCAGTGGTTCCCAACCTTGGGTAATCCAGGTGTTCTTGGATTGCAATTCCCAGAAGCCTTCACCACCACCTGTGCCTGTCGAGGTTTCTGTGAGTTGCAGCCCGAGAACACCTGGGTTACCCAAGTATAGGATCTACTGTTCTGTTTGATTCAATTCTATTTTGTGCTAATAGTTTAGACTGCTGATAATAGGACTAGTGAAGTTCTGTTAAAATTTTACTACTTGAATCCAGAAATTCTGATATTGTTCTTATTAGTACAAAGGACTTGACCAAGTCTCTTGCATCTTTCATTTCTAAACACAAGTAGTCACACTCTACCTGGGATAAGCACCGCGGAAAATCTCAAAAGCTACTTTGTAGTGGACACATCTAATATTGCACTAAATAGTTCCTGCTCTTTTATTTGTGGAATGTATTGTTTGGCTGTTATATAATGATTCCCATCATCTACTACATAATTTCTGCCTGAGGACTTTACTGCGCAAGGCCAAATGGGGAATATAACATCTTGTTTATTACCATGTGCTGGAGCAGAACAATTGCTGGACCATGTGTTGATCCACAGCAGCAGGGAGTAAGTAAAGGGTGGCCCTACACAACTCTCAGTTTTCATTGCAATTATTTAGGCTAACCAATAGTGATTATGGGTTCAGTCCAACACATTTTTAAATGGTGATGAGTGGGAGATTTGTCAGAGATATATTTGCGGCGGGTGGGTTTCCTGCTTTGACTGGGAGTTGGACTTGATGAACATTTGGGTGCCGTTTCAGGTCTACAGTTCGATAGAATATGCGGAGGAGCAAACCCTTTATCTACCTCTAGGACTGCCAGATATCTTTGGAGAGTTACTCCCATCAACCCCTCCCCACTGGTGACAGTTGCTGGGAGTTGTAGTCTAACACAATATAGTGTATTGATAGCTGTGCAACTCTTGAGTTACAGATAGTAAGATTTGTACATTAACAAAAGACCAGAAAGGAAGCAACACTCCACAAAATTGGCCCACAGGTATCCACCTCTTCAGGACCATGTGATTCAAGCACAAGATCAAACCACATAAACACATACTTCTGACTCCTTTGCATCTTAAATCTCATTGACTTGCCAACATCTAGAGACCAAAAACATATCAGTAAGCAAGAAACATGGGCCACATTTTTGTATCTTTTTATTTACAATTAGATTTTAAAAAAATGCTTGCCCATGGACAACAGATGCCTGCACAAGTTCAGTCTGGATTTGTCAGCGACACACTGTGGAGGACCATATGACAGCAACAGACATACAGACAGAGGCAGTAAACACTTGGCACTGATATCTATTGAGGCTTTGCTTGGTTGACACTTCCACGTTTTAAATTATTGTTTTTGCCACAGTGAGGCAGTGATCTGCTGGGTTCAATTTCTGTTTTAACCAGCAAAGTATCTTGAACCAATGTCATTTTCAAAATAAAGCAAAATTAAATTAAATTAAAAAAACCTACACCACATATAACTTTATGTGATGCAGGCTGAGATGCCGGTGGGCTCATTTAGGTAATAGCAAGGCCCGAAAGTAGCTAATCAACTAGCCAAAGAAGGACTAAAGATTATGTCATGTCTTTCAAAAGGGAAGACATTGATTACTCAGCATTAAATTTTTAAGCAGACAATGGAAAAGTGTTATGAATGTCAGCAGTTCTTTCCATTTTGACATTTGGATGGTAGATCTACTGAAATGAATAGAACTTGTCACAATAGTCCCATTTCTTTCATTTGATCTACCGTACTCTAGGACTTGTAACAGTCACGTGGCACCTTTAAGCTTAGCAAGGATATTTCCTTTAAAATATGACTGTTCGGATTGAACCCATTGATTGGGATTCCCTATTGCTGACTGTTAAGATATCTCTTGGAGTGACTTATGAATAGAAGATTCCATCTCCTGTTATCCTTCCTTACCTTACATTTCCTCTATTCCTACCAGAAGTAAAGCCTCAAGTGTTCAGAAATGTGTTTTCCACAATAGATATCATCTGGGGTTGGTTCTAGGGAAAGTTAGCACGTGAGTTTGTCTTAATCCTTCTGATTTCTCCCTATTCACTATACCAGTATGAAATACTTTTATTTTTTTTTTAAATAATAAAAGAATGATCCATTTCTCAAGAACTACTAAGGTCCTCAGAGCAGGGCTGTATCTCACAGGAAACTTACATGCCAATCCCATTTAATGCAAATGATATGTCAAACACTTTGGGTCGATAGCTTTGCCACTGTAGGAAAACATTAACTTGCATGAGATCTACAGAACTGTATTAACAGTCTATACTGAACAGAGCCTGGATCAACTAGTTACAAATGTGTTGCACAATGATTAATGGAGCAAGGCACTCTTTTCACATTTTTTTTAAAAAACTAAGTTTTATAAATGCAAGGGCCATGTGGTGTCTCTACTCAGGTGTCTTTTGTCTTACTGGTCAGTGGATTCCAGCATTCTGATGAGATTTTAAATAAATAAATACTGTAGTAAATAAATGTCCTAGTAAGGAGAAAGCAGTTACAGATTATTTTTGAAAAGTAATATTTTAGATCTGACCACTATGTAACCTGGCTTTGAATTTCTAAAGGGGTCTCATCTCAAATTTTATGCCCAAGTTTGGCTATTGCCAGTTGGTTTCATTATTGTGTGTGACACATGGGGCTCGTCAAATAATGCATTGTCGTGTACACAGTGTAGAACTGCCATGTATGCCCATTAATGGTCGAATGGCTTCAGATGGATAACACCTCTGGTGTCTGAACTTCAAAATCCTAAGAGGTGCCATCACCATAGTGTCACTTTTAAAATAAATGCATGTAATATCTCAAGGGGATCTTAGCATATTCCCGTCTATCCATGTGATAGAGCTAACTGTGTCAATATGCCCTTCCCAAGTATGGTTCGAAGTCTCCAATGTATTTCACTGCCACTCCTGGTTCAAGTCAAGACACAGCAGCTACAAAAATGTGAGAATCATCAATTCTACAAGGGACAGAACCATGAGATTAGGCAGTGGTGGGCTGGTTGAAAGGCACACAAAAAGAGGCAGCATTTGCATCTACCAGATTATGGCACAAGAGGAGCACAGGACACACACTTAACAAGAACTACAGAGCACAGAGGCCACAGAGATTAGACAATGCTCCTGTGAACTGTAATTTGGCATTTTTCTACACAGCAGTATAGCAAAGACAGGAAAATGCTCATCTACGCTGCACATTAGAGTAACCTCAGTTTCTTTAAAAAACTATCTGTCTTGTCATTTCTGAAAGCAAAGGTGATGGTTGTGTGGCTTACATAACCATCCCAGGATTCCTTACACATGCAATGTTAAAAAGAATTTTGTGTGAAATTTTAACAGGACTGTGCTTCTCCCACCATCATCCGAGGAGTTTGAAAGACTCAAATAAGATGCATCGCACTGCTAGTTTTTCAGGAACAATGAAAACTCTTATTATTGTATACACTTACTGACATGGGTCAATTTGTTTCAGCATTACATCAGCCCGATTCAAATGGCAACTTGGGTGTACAGAAAGCACTTGTACAAGATTCTGTGGGGCTCAAGGTATTTAAAGCAGTGGTTGGAATCCCCCCCCAAGCCTACAGCTCCCATCTCTCATCCATCATAGTATACAGAATACCTGCAGAATCACAGGTAGAGGTGTGGAGATTGGTATTTTTTGGACTACAACTCCCAACATTCTTAAGATAGAAAAACTGTTGTGGAATTCTGGAAGCTGTCACCTAAAAACATTTACCTGCACACCTCTTAGCTAAACAGGAGGCTGCCTTAAAGAAACATATTTTCTATGGACTTCGGAAACCAGAGCACATAAAGGACTACTCAGGGTTTTCTCTCTCATTGCCGGCCACCAGTCATCACACAACTGGGTGCTCAGTTACTTCCTTTGCCAGAGGAGACTGAGAATCATGATGCCCAGCAGACAGTGGAGGTTGGCTTAACTGCACAATTGCCAACGTATGCTGCATGGGACTGGTAGGATTCTGGACAATTTTTAAGCAGTTTCATTAAAGACTATACAATATCTTCTTCTACCAAAGACTGGACATCATATCCATTCCGACTTTGGATGCTATGATAAAACAAAACTGCTGGATAGCTCAGTGGTTAAGGTCCCTGGCTGTGGAGCCAGAGGTTGGGAGTAGAGATGGGGGCATTTTTATACGGATATTCCCGCACAGGTGAAAAGAACGAGGGTCTGGCCCCATGAGGCCAGAATGTCCCCTCATGATTTCACCGCTGATGTGAGCTTGTCAGACCCTCCTATAGCGCCACTGTCTGCAATCGATTACCCAGTCCTGGCAGGAGGTGGGATGACAAGCCTCTCTTCTAGGTTGGAGAGTGCCTAATCCATTGTTGAGAACAGTGCGATAGGAAGCCTCCACAGAGGCAGCGACAGCGGCGAAATAATGAGTGGACCCTCGTTATTTCCACCTGTGCAGGGATATTCATATATGAATACCCCCATCTCTAGTTGGGAGTTTGATTCCCCACTAATCTTCCTTGACAGGGGTTGGACTCAATTATCCACAGGGTTCCTTCCAGCTCCATAGTTTTCAAATACTATGTCTCTAACTGCTTTCACAGCTTCTTCAACCAATGTAATTTTCTTATCCCTGAATTTCTTTTCCTGTTTATTTTATTGTGAATGCAGCAATCTGTACTCTGTTCTAGCTTTTGTATATCTTATGGATTTTCCTATTCGTTTGGAGAATCTTCCCTTCCATTGGATGCTTCTCCTTACATTCAGAATTCTTTCCTCACTTACCTCTCTTCCAAGGGGCACAGCAGCACAACACAGACTAGATTCTTGAAAAGGTATCTGATAAATTATATACTGCCACATTGCTATTTTCAAATATTGAACTGATGTACACAGTGGCTAAACAAATTCCAGATTTAGCTACACTGTTGAATCACAATCAATGTCTCATCAAATTCTGCTGTGATGAACTGCAATATCAAACCATTCTCTCATACTGAGTAAGAGACTATGATCAAGGACAAGACCAAATTCTTCCTATTGAAGATATTTGATTACAGAATTACGGTTTTCACAAAAAGGAAATTCCTAAAACACATTCCTATTTGGTGAATTATGTGGGTTACTTCAGACAATTCACTTTTAACAGTTACTTCACCAAAGCTGAGGAAGACATGTGTCTATTTTATACACTTGTGCATCATGAAAACACGGTGAGATAGTGTGAAAATATATTGAGACCATATGAATCTCCAAAGCACCTTTTAATCACACTGTGTGCATATTTTTTTTTAAAAAATAAATCACATCTCATGTTCTGCCAGACGTAGAGTTTCCTCAGTCCCTACCACATTTGCAATTTTGCTGACTAACCCAAGACAAGAAGGGGACATGCTAGCCCTGCCCCCAACTGGTGGTGCTTTCCTGGCATGAGAAGCAGCAAATTTGAAGAGAGGTTCTTGCTCATGTGTACAGGCTCATCTCTTCACATTTTTTTCTTTTCTGTGTAGGAAGGCCACAACTGAAGCAGGCGGGGCTACCACCCATTCCTTCCTGTTTTATTGCCTAAAATGCTAAGTAATACCACAATAATATGTTCTAATAGTGCTCAGATAAAAAATACATGAACCAGTTTTTCAGTACTAGATCTTGCAGGCCTGGCAAAATCAGAGTTAATTTCAGGTAACAATTAAATTACCAAGATAAGATACTTATATATTTGTGCTTACCCACTGGTATTTGTTTCTCTAAAGCTAATTTAAAGTGATAGAAAAAAACCCCCTAAGAATTATTTTCAGCTGAACACGACCAAGGCCTTAGGCTGCCAGCATTTGCTCATGTTGCTTCTCCAGTTTTGTGAGTCTAAGATTTTAAATATCCACTTTATTTTTTAAGCACTCACCACACTGCCTTTCCTCCATTGATTCAAGTTATTTCTCTTTACGTCGGCATGCATCTTTAGCACTGGCTAGTATTTAATAGCATCTTTTGGGCCTTGCTCAGAGATGGCAGAAGTGATACAGAAAGCTTTGTGCAGCTACTATGCACACTGCTCTTTCAATTTTTTTAAATAAAAAATTCAAATTAAGTTTGCTTTAAAAAAAACCCAAATTCAGCATAATTTTCACAATATAATTTTGTTCCAAGCTTGACTTTGAGATCCACCCTTCCTCTCAGCTTCAGTAGATGATCAGTGACTTCATAAACTAGTGGGACACATATTGAAGACAGCACGGTTACAAGCGGGCACAATTTATTCTCTCAACACACTCGCGCATTGTTTCTGCTCAACAGCCCAAAAAAAGAAAAAGAAAAAAAGAAAAAAAGATTCATTAGTTCAAAACAGTATCCCTTTCCCTTACTGTTGCACCTTTTAAAAATTGGCTTGATTTCCCCATTTTTTTTCCACTGGGAGTATTACGTACTCTTGGAGTTTCAAACGTTCTGACAAGAGGTTTGTCAAGAATTGTCCAAAACCTGTCCCCCTTCTTGCACCTCCCCCAAACAAAGGAAATCTTCCAAAGAACCATATAAATACATGCAAAACATTGTACACAGAGATTAAATAATATCAAAATGCAATTACAGATCAGGTGCACTTTTAAGCAGACTCTAGAATATGGCAAACACACCAGGGGTACATATTGCTTTGAAACCACCATTTTTTTTAAAATGTCATGCATACCACATAATATTCAGTCTTTTGACTTTTTTCTTTTTTTATACAAAAATACCAGTGTGTATTATACTAGTTACTGGGGGGGAAAAAAGGGAAAACCTAAGTTCTTATATGCATGCTTCTTTAGAAAAGCTTTTAAATCAAATAAATATACATACAACAATTCATTTTAATACTGTATATATATTTATTTATAGGTAGGAAAAAAGTGAACAAATAATTTTAGCCATGAGGTGACAAAACAGCATATGAATTTGCAGATAGGGTCCTTTGCTATTAGGCAGTAGCAATGCTGCCATCACAAAGCACAACCAAAACAGTATGAATCAATAGTAGGAGGGTAGCTATATTGGCTGCGATGTAAAAGTGAAGCTATCCTAAAGGCATCATGGATAAGAGAGAGAACGTCTTCTTTGTGGTACAGTTTGGTTGCCCTTCATCCATCAAGGCACTCTGCTAAATGAAAAGAGACCTTGATTGTTGACCTCCACACCCAATGGGAAGAGTAGAAGGCTGATCATGAAAGACTTCCATTTGAAACATTTGGAAGCTGCCAACCTTCCACTTTCTCTTTAAAGCTGTGGCTCTTGTTACATTTGCCTCCATTAGAACTATCTGCTTCATTCTCACCAAAAGCCAACATGGGCCTGAAAATTTCTTCCCAGGAAGAATGCCATGGAACAGACACAAATTCTCTAAGACTTTTTTTGAAATATGAGCCAGTGATTTGGCATCAGTGAAGGTCTTCAATGGACTTAGGTTCAGCCCACTCCCAGTGGGAATCTGTGCTGGTCTCTGTGACAAGAAGGACGTGAAATTACACACAGGAATTTCTATTCCTATTCTAACAGTACCACTTTGCATGGCTGTGGCATGCAGTTCTGTTTGTCACTACCCATGGCTAAAATTACAGTTTGATTTCTTTTCCTCCTGAAATGTTCTAAAATTTAAACAAGTTTCTCAAAACTTATTGCACAAAATGTTTGAAAAATTAAGTCAGATCCCTGTGCAACTTAATAAAAAGAACCAATTACATAATTCTAATGCCTAGAAATGGATATTCTTCATTGCACATGAAAGTGATGTAATGTCTTTGGTACCAGTCTGCCAATTTATTTAACAAAATGAATAAATCCCTACTATTAAGAATTGGATGCAAAATCATATCAGGGATGGTTTTCTTAAAAAAACAACAGCAAAGCATTCCAAGGCAAAGTAACACATATCACAGGATATTATCTCATTTCCTCTATGGCATGGCACAAACTTTTAACTATTTCCCTCTCCCATGACCATGCTTTATTCACTGCAAAGTTCATTCCATCCCCTAGTGTTTCGGAGAAATTACAATCTGTTCCCACCCAACAAAGGAAGACCACACATATGAGAGTGCTTCTCTGTGTGGATCTCCTGACTTGGATGTTATGTAAATGCACACAAAAAGATGCTGCATGGAGGGCAACCCCATTTGCATCCTGTACTTGGAAGGGAGACAAGTGTGTGCTGATCTCAGCTGGACCGGGTTTATTTATCTCTCCCCCCCCCTCCAATGATGGCTGATGCAGTCAACTTTTTGAAAGTGCTGTTCAACTGTCTGGTGAGATGGAGAGTAAGGGGACTTAAATGAAAGGAAGTTCACCTTTTTCTCTCCATCCCCGGCACAGGTGATCACAACCATCAACAGAACTTGACAAGCTTGGCTATTTATTTGGCGAGTGTGTGCAACACATGAATCCAGAGATCAAGGCTCACACATTTTATCCACAGCACTCCATTTTAGCCATGTGTTTTATAGCTTCATAATAACTTAAGCCAGTCAACTGCTGCTAGTTTTATCATAGAAACAAAAAATAGAAAAAGAAAATCCCCAACCCTATTTTACATTTTTTAAAAAATGTATGCACAATAAACACTTATACTTTAAGCAAACCAGCCATGTCAACATAATTTATATAAAAAACATTTCTGTATAACACAACTGACTTTAGTACAAAGATGGCTGTTCAGAGAAAGGAAGCTGACTGGAGTCTCACCAATCACTGTTTCAACTGCCAGCCATGTGACTACATTCCACTGCAGTTACATAACTCACAGCTCTGTTTCCTTTAAACAAAATACATATGGCTGACTTAAAAATATTTGTTTCTGATCTAAAGAAAACTATATATTTTTTGCATAATATTTATATAATTATTTCCCTCCCCCCCCCAACCTCACTGAGGAAGTTAGACAAACCAAAAAGAGGGGAAATGGACTAAAATGTAGGTCAGACCCCCTCACTGCAACCTGACCATTACAGGCAGTTTTCTTTACTTCTTCTGCCAAAACATGTTTGAGGTAATAAAGAAATATCAAACATTTTTTAAAAAAAAATTGGTGTGCCCCTCCCCAATTTATAAATATTTATGCAAACTCCTAACTCCATCACTTTGTTTTTGCAAGTATTTAAAATAGAACAATTATAATTGAAACAATGTAATCTTTACAACAGAAATGAACAATTTTCTTTTTCTTCTTAACCTTGTAGGTCACATAGCAAGCAATGACAATTTCCCTCCTTATAATTCCTCTTGATGTGTACAGTTCAAGTGAAAGGAATGAAATGAACTTATCTGGAAGGAAAGCAAGGGGGGGCAGGGGATGGTATGATATCCTATTGGCAATTAAGATGGCCAATGATTGGTGCTCCCACACACCCTTGATACTGGCAGGCGGCTGAGGCCCGAATTCAAGTCCTCTTTATGCTAGCGTTGGAATAAAAGACCTGCTAAGAAGGCATTTTCATCAGCCTGCCTTGAACGCATTACGAAATCAAGTGACCAGTCTACAAAGTGAATGGGGTTTTCAACTGAAAAGAGAAATCAAAACACTTCATTTAATTTTTTGTTGGTTTAAGGAACACTTATCTCTTGGCAAAGAACCGGGCTCCTGTGTGGCAGGCGGTGCTTTGGGCAGTGCTTAGGCAAGGCACAGGAATTTCTGCTGTGCGTTTTTCAGAAGGAAATTGGGGGGAAAGAGGCCACTAGCAAAGAAAAGTGGTGTACATGTTTGAAAATTGGGAGGGTGGCCGGATGACAAAGCTTTCAATACAGCTACTAGCAACTAGGCTTCTTTGTATTGCTTCTGGGCAATACTTTCCAAGCCAAGCATCCTGTCATTAAACAAGGATTTTGAGAGCCACTCAAGAGTTCATGCCAAGTTTCAAGAGCCATTCTGCCTCTGTATCACAACTGAGGATCCCAACACTTCTCTTGCGGCACAAATGGCCATCACTCACGTATGCTCAATCCACGGCTATGAACTTCAACGTACAATTTGGTCATCTTAATACTAGGAAATACGCAACAAGATGGGGCTGTCTCAGTCTCTGTTCAGCACAAGAACCAAATTACTTTTGTCAGCACCACTTTGGAACAGATGAGTGGCAACAGTTGTTTTGGGAAGAGAAGGAGGCCCGTTTAGGGAAGGCACTCCTAATAATGCGAAATGTAGAGAAGCTTTATTGGTGCACCTCAGCTCTTAGTAATTAAGATGCTTTGTGCAACAACCAACACAACACACAGAGCTCACTTTTAAATGCATTTTGCACTCAAGTGTCTGCACTCAAGACTCCTCTTCATTACATTTTCACTCTTCCACATGCAAAACACAGGGAATTTTACAGGAAATGATAGGGTATTAATAATGTTGGCCTGGCTGTATTGTTTTATATCTTGCACTCTTCAAAGAGGCGGTCCCTTCCCCCATAACAACTCTTCTGAAAACATGGCAGCAACTATAATTTGAACTTATGCCACACTCTTCCTTTGGACGAGGCTGAGATGCCTACAACACCAAAGACTTACTCACCTGGTAGTCAAAATGGCAAAACTGAAATCATATAATTATATATAATTTATGTAAACATAGGACACCTCACATCCCTCACCTAATAGAGACTTCCAAAGCAATTTTCTCTTAATTTATATTCAACTCCTTTTCATCAAAAGTTATGTACCACCTAACTTCATTTACGCAGCAAAATGTCATATCTCCTTGTTGTTTGGCCTTATTCCATCATTTAAAAAGCATTTAAAGATGTCTAATCACCCAGAATCTGCTGTGGGTGATACCACTATTTAAACAGTGAAATACATAAGGAGAAAAATGATAAAAATCAGGTTCCCCACCCCTAACCCCATGGAAGACTGGGTTCTTTTATATCTAGGACCTGGTTCAGGTTCCCCTTCAACTCTACTTCTCCCCAAGGATATACTGAATTCTGATTTGCAAGTAAAAACACCAGCTATCCCCACACAACAGCATGAATAGATATTGTATGCACACCTTTTAGAGAGAGGCTGAACCATGTAGCTTTGGGCATACATATTCAATGACAGAAAAGTTACTATTACAGATATTTGCAGCCCAGCTCAAGAAAAAGATGCATCAAACTGATGGTTACTCTCTTGAGGGAGCCACCTCCACCAAATATTGTATGAAAGAAAAATTTTGTGGTTCCTGCATCTATCTAATCATACAAGGGATGTGTGTGTGTTGGGGGGGAGGAGGAGGAAATAGGCATACTACCCATGAAGTGAATGCATTATGTGGTCAGATGATGGTGCTTATGTTGCATGAGGTGAGGGAAAGAGGAGAAAGATCAAAGTTCAGAGTTCAAACTGATGTTTCCAAGCTGTGTAAAGGGCTTTCTAGCTCTGGAATGTTATCCTCAGCTATACTGCTGTCCACTGCATTGTTGTTTTTGGTGAGGGGTGAGGACTCGCCTAGGCTCTCCTCACTTCGCTCATTTAGTTCTTCAGCTTCCAGGTCTTCATCGGTGCCATCTAGGAATGGTGTCTGAGGCTCATCTTCCTCCAGGATGAACTCGGGGTGAGTCATGAAGTTATGAATGGAGCTTCTGGATTCGGGTTTCTCGAGGCCTTCATATAAGGAGCTACGGAACGCATTCACCACTTTGATCTGTGCCGAAGAGGAACGTGGATAAAACAAAGAAAGAAAGAAGCAAAACACAAAAGTGAGTGTTGTCCAAAAGGAGAATTTAAAGATTTTAGGAGGAGGAAGAGTGAAACAAGTATAACAACAATGACAAAAAACAACAAAAGGCAACAGTAGCGGCAGTAACAGTAAACTAAAATCTATGTAAAAAGAGGACCTATGGACCAGAACATGGTCAAAGGTCAGACACTATGCATGTGATGGGGTAACCAACAACGAGGAGATTTCGGGAGCTGCAAGAAAAGACATGTAACATTTCTTAGGCAACAGCTTTGAAAAACATGGACATTCAAAGCATAACTGTTCTTACTCGTGCATCTCCATGTTTAACAGCAACAACAATACTCAAATGAAACAGCTCTGAGCAGTGACTTAGGATATACAGTATACACTTGCAAAGTATGCTTTGCTTCAAGTTCAAATTAGGGTGGGAGGTGACAGTGTCAGTTTTTAATTTTCCAATCTATAAAGATGGAATTTGCTGAATGTGTCACACACAAAAATAGCTGAGAGCGTGTATTGAAGCAAACTGAAGCAAAATGCCAAAAGTGCTAAATATACTGGTGAACATGCAGGAGTAAACAGAACAGGAATTGCATTGAAGTATTGAAACTCTGGATATACCTTAGAGACATTGTGTTCGGAGGTTTGACTGCATTTTCCAATCATGTTTGCTCATTTCTGATCTTATTCAACAAGTATGCTCAGCAGTCATGGCCTGTCAGTGCTTGTGGCAGAACTAGGGAATTCATAATCTACCCTCTAGTTTTATGCAGCCCAATAAGCCGTGCAACAAGGAAAGAGACCCATTTTTATCCCACCTCTCTTTTCTAGCGTTCAGTTGTTCCCCACTAACCACAACAAACTGGATTCTGACTGAAATCCCACAAGAGATCTGAAAGCTCCCCAGTGACAGAGTCTGGGCTAGCTCCTCCCTGGCTATCCTTTTGCCAGCAAGCAAAAACCATTTTATTCAGACAGATTTTTGGCAACTGACCTTTGTTACTGCAGAAGATTTTAACTGAATAGGTTCTGTATTTTTCTTTTGCTGGCATTAAAAAAGTTTCAAAAGTTTTTAATGCTTGTATACATGTTATGTTTTAATTGTAATGGTAATATTTAACTGTGAGTCACCTTCCATCCCATCTATGCAAGATATAAATTGAATAAACAAGTAAATCAGTATGTAGCCACTTGTGCAATTAGGGGTGAGGTGGAATCTCTAATGAAATTAGAAATGGAGTCTTGATTTACAAAAAAACAAAAAACAGAGTTTAGCAAGGTTACTTGGATTAGAACACTGGGGGGAAAACAGAATGCAGCTTAAACTTAATTGCTAGTGAAATATCAAAGTTCTGCACCCCTTTGGTTATTATGAATTCAGACATAAGGAAATTTTTATTATTTCAGACCCTCAAACCAATCACAGTTTCCTCGGTCATATAGGTAAAATGCAAATCACATTTCCAGAACAAAGAGGCATTGTGGACACTGGGGTTGAGACATCTTCGCTTGACAGGATGAAGTATATTTCTGTAAAAGTCACATTCTTCCACAAAAAGCAACACAACATGTATGAAAGTGTGATGGTCTGAGCTTGCAAACTTAATAATACACAAATTAAATATAGATAGTTAAATTAGCAGTCCACTGAAAATTGTATGCAATCCACAAAAAAACATGCCACATGATAAAATAAAACAATGCAATTCGTATTTTATGCAGAAATGGCCCAAAAGTGTTTTAAAAGGGGAAAAAATCTAATGAAAATGTGATCCAAATGGCAACCTTGGCAATCATAAGGAAAAATTTTCCACTCCTTCCCACTTTAAATTATTATTATTATTTTGGAACTTCAAACGTGCTGTTGGTAATACTCCAGGTGTCCTCACAAATTATCTGGACCAAGCTTCCAATTCTTGCCTCAGGGTCTCTAATCACAGAAATCATTCACACTTGGGAGGGAGGACCCCATGCATAGCACTAGGAATGGCTTGTTGTAGCTTACTTAATTTTTGTACTATACGTATAAATGAACACACTGATTTACTGATAGGTCTCCTGATTATTCTAAAAGAGGCACAATCTCCATCTTGTTGAAAAGGTGTTGTGAGCTACAGCGGTATGATGGGACTTACACAATGGCTAGAATTAGATGATTGCTGGATGCATTCTCTGCTGAAATACCCACTGCTTTTCCCTTCTGCAAAGTGCTGTGGAGAAATGGCAGTTTCCAATGGAGATACAGGAGTGGAAGGACAAAGATATTCTACAGCCTACTCCACGGTTTCTTTCTGTAACTTCTGTGGTTCACCAGCCAAGATTAAAAAAAAGGTGTTTGTGACAAAGCTGCAAGGCTGGAACCCTGACTAGGGCAATGTGATTGCAATGGGACAGAAAACCTATGGGTGTGGGTGTGGGTGTTGAGGGAGATTAAGCACCTGCCTTCCACATGGCCAGCTCCACTGCACATTGCCCTTTCATAAAGATTAAGCAGGGGCCAGGATTTCTTCAGACAAGGATGCAAAGATACAGGAATGCATTGAAAGGTTTAACAGAACCAAGATGTTCCTAAATCTCAGTTTATCTCAGCACAATTTGAGGGGGAGGGAATGGCTGTGAGGTAGGGGGCATAAGCTTTATCATATACTACATACCCATCTAAGCACAGAATTACTATCTTAAAGAAAATTGGAAGGTGAAGCAGCATCCTAAACTTTATATGTATTGCATATTCTGGTCCTTAGATAAATACAGAAATAGCATCCCATGACATCAGGAGGGAGAAGAACTTGCAGAAACTAAAGTTAAATCCTCTCTGTTGGGGTGGGCAATCTTTGGTTCCACATACTGTATGCTGTTGGATTTCAACTCCAATCGCCACTAGCCAGGAAGAAAGAGGGACAATGAGAAATACAATCAAACAAATCACTTCCCCAACCCCGATTCTATATTTACTCAAACTAATTCTTTCACTTCCCTTCATCCCTTCCTCCATCACTCTTTCCTGTGCAACTGGGCCTAAAATCACTATGGGAGATAAAGGACCAATGAGGCTATTTAATAGTAGAGCAAATTGGTTACTGACTGCTGTTTTGAAGATGATGGCTTCCAGATAAACTGCACTTTTTGCTCTGTCAAATCTGGATGACTTATTTTAAGAGCACAAGAAATGTCTTGCTGAATCAGATGTAGCCCAGAATTCAGTCTCCAACAGCCAGTTGCCTTTGGAAACTGTGGTGTGATACATGTCTCCTTCGGATTGTTCTTAGGCTCTGCTAACCAGAGCCCCCCTTTCAGCTATCACGAATAACACTTTCTGGTAGTCACATTGCCCAAAATTTGCTGAATCTTTTTTTTTTAAAAGAAAGTCATCTAAGTCAGTCTTATGATCTCTTCAGGCAATGGTCAATTCTCTAATCAATCCGACTAAATGATCTGAATTTTGGCACTTTAAGGCAGAAAAATGGGCACCTGCAGTGTTCAGATCGCAAACCTACATTATATCTTAGCTGTATTTTCTCCTTTTGTTCTCCCTTTGACCAAAGACACCTTCATGAACAGAACAGTGGGTTTTTCCCCCCATGCCCAGTTAATTACCAGACTATAGGGATGTTCTGCAAGTTTATTTGATTCATAAACTTCTGGATAGCTCAGTAGTGTAAGTCTATGGCTGCAAAGCCATAAGTTGGGAATTCCCCACTGCGCCTCCTTGACAGGGGTTGGACTCAATGATCCACAAGGTCTCTTCCAGCTCTGCAGATCTAAGATTATTATATAATTATTATAAACACTTAATCATCTTTAACCTATGCTGCTACGTTTCTCTTTGGAATTATATAATATCCTCCAGATACAATGCAATGACCTCCACCTTGAATGGAAAACTATCCAGTTCTTGTTCCACTGACACGTCTATAGCTCCTGAGCTGCTACTTTGCCCAAGTCCTTTTCCTTCTGCACAAGAAAAGTAGTGAAAAGCACACACTACTTACCTTTAAGAATAGTAGCTATCATCTGAAAATGGAAAGAGCATGCCTTCATGTCCGATTTAACAAGCAGAATTATACTACTGGATGTCTCCCCTCCCTCAGCACAAACATGTTTGTTAATAGACAAGAAAGCATCTGTTTTCCATTTTCAGAGGGGAAAAGGGTCTTTTAAAAAGTGGCTTTTTCTGGCCTTATCCTGGTGGCCACAACAACATATGGGACCTTATTTATATTTATTTATTTATTAAACTTATACCCCGCCCCTCTAGACCTTAGGGAAATGAAGTGCAAAAAAAAAAAAAAAAAAGAAGAGGGAGGGAGGGCAGATGCAGCCTGTAAGCGATGTGTTGTTTACCCTTAGACAACTACTCTTGGTATTTGGCTGAAAGATCTTATCTAGCCATCACAAAATTAGGCTAAAGTGAATGCACTTTCAAATGCAACACACTAGCCCAACTCAAAAAATGCACTAGAATTTCCAGAGATTTGGAAATGATGACATGTGGATGATTGAACTAGGCACAAACCTTGGCACATATTTAGAAGCCGTGCTCCCTCAATTGGTAAATGAAGTCTATTTGTCACTGCACATGCTTTTCTCCATGGAAAACAAACAGTGCCACCTTCATTGATAATCAGTATAGGCCATCAAGTCAATCTTGACTTACAGTAGCACTCCCAAGGTTTTCTGGGTATAAAGTACTCAGAAACTGTTTACTAGTCCCTCCTCCTGGTGGTGCACTAGGATCATGTATGTTGCCAGGCTACACACCTCAGTCCCATGAGCTTCAGGTGATCTCAACTGATCTCCCTCCTGGGAGGCATGGGGGATTTGAACGTCTGGCCACTGGCTCCACAGCTAAGTTACTTCAATTTACTGAGCTACCACCAGCTCTGCCAACTGCTTTATCCATTTTGATATATCAAGGAGCAGCACCACACCAAATACAGGATATTTAGAGCTGCTTCAATGCTACCTGGAAAACTGCATCGTTGGCTCAAATTGCTGAGTCATCCAGAGCCAGTATCTTGAGGCTATCCATTTCCGTATTTCCAGTGCATTTCCCCTCACATTAAGAAGACATTTTGAGAACAATTTGCCTCTTTAAAATGAGTTGAGAAAATAAAGAAATAATCATAAAGTTGGCTTTACTAAGCAAAATAATAAATGAAACAGAAATACATCCTGAGCTTCCTCCTTTTCTCATCAATCAGCCTTCATAAACAGCATTTGGCTTAGTGAGAGATTGTTTTCTGTTTTTGAACTTCTTTTATTTATTTGTAGACCTTTCCACCAAGTATTAAGAAAGAGGAGAGACAGATTGTCAGAGAGGTAGCTTTAAAGAGTAGTACAGATGAAGTAAGAAATTGCCCAGGCAGTCCAAAAAGGCACAAGCACAGTTATTATAGAATGGGAAACCATGCGACCCACTCAAATAAGCTACTTTCTTCTTTTCTTCTTTCTATCCAACCACCTCAATTAGATAAAACAAATAATACTTATGTGTACCATGAAAAAATTATCATTTGCTTCTTTAGGTGAATGCAATGCACAAAACTCTTTCTAAAGCACTATTGCATTGATCGCCTGGCAGAGGAATAAATGTATATCACTGCAGAAAGTATGCAGAGTATACAAAAATCAGAACACCAATATTACTTAATTGCAAATTGTAATTAGAAAATGATCTTCTTTGCAACATTGGTAAAAAAAATAGAGGTTAAAACAAACGAATATGTAAACAAATGATGAAACAAATAACTAAATATATGCTGAACACCATCAAATAACTTCTTAACTTGCTAAAAAAAATAACTGGAAAAATGAATGACCTGCATTTCTGAATGCAGCTTGCATTTTAAAAAAAAAGAGACATACATGTAGCTTCTTTTTTTCTGAAGAAAAAAGATGGTATAATAAAACACATAACTGAACACCGCATGCTTGCAGAAATACATTTTGTCTTCAGTAAAGTGAGAATATTCTGTAAGATTTATCTGAAATTATTATTAAAAACCAATGTCTAAACTAACGCTACCTCCATGAAATGATTGAAAAATGACACAAAGTTTTGTAAAGATCCACTTTGCTAACCTAAAAACTGCTGACGTCACACAGTGGTATTTATGCAGCTATGCCACACACCCAAGGTTGACCTTTTGGCCCATCAGGCCAATCTGAACCAACTTCCAGAAGCCCTGACTGTTGGCCATGGTTGGTTGGAATTTTTAGGAGTTATGCCTAAAACAAATAGAGAACCAAATGGTTGAATGCAAGGTGCCAGTTTTAGTTAAATGCAATTTTTACTAATTTGTAGCTCAGTGTAGATTATGACAGCTTTTTCCAGATCTCTTCTGCTTAACAACCTGTACACTGTTTTTTTATATAACACTAACACCACTCATTTGTTATATCCGAGATGCTTGAATAACAGGGGAGCTAAACTATGACACATTGAAGTGCTCAAGGATTCATTACTACAAGCTGTCTCTCTATTTTACCCAGTACTAACAGTATAGATTACAATGGCTGAAATTCTTCTGTGCAGTTACACAAATGGCATAATTTTTGGAAGCAAATTGCTGTAAATTAGGAATTTTCCATAGACATTGCCTGTTGCATATTGAGTCACACAACTCAACATACAAAAGATAGGATCTACAGAAATATCTTAACTTCTATCAATTTGCCTCAAAAAACTACACCACGTGCAACTGCAAAACAGGATTTCAGCCTATGGTATTAATATCATTGTATTAACATTTTACAGAAAATACTAATATTTGCCATTAAACATGCAAGCTCCTGAAACTGTGGGATCATTTGCTGATCTCAGTAATAAGAGGCACTGACATAGGTTTTGAAGTGTTTTCTGAAAATGTTATTTTAACAGCCTAACATGTTATTTATCCAAAGGATGGTTACTGCCAATTAAACAGAAATGTAGAGGATTAGAACTCTAGCTTTCCAGAGTCCTTCTAGAGGGAAAGTTATACTCTCCCATTATGGCTAGAACAGTGTGCAAATAATTACAACTAATTTCTTGTTAAACTAGTCTATTCTGAATTAACATTCCCTCTTATTTTCTGGAGCGCTGGGTGAGAACCTCACCCCATGTGCATGGGGTTCTGACTGCAACCGGAAGCAAATAGGTGGCAATACTGCCTAGGCTGCATGGCGTTGATGCAGAGCTGCATGATCGCACATCCATGCAGCTTAGAGGGAATGCTGCTCTGAACTGAAGCATATTCCATCTTCTGTATTCAGTTGTGACCACTGACTCTTCCCCCTTTCTCCATCCTTCCCTTAAGAAAACCATCAGTAATATTTTGTGCCTCAGTGAAAATATGGGAATATTCAGTCCTGCAAGAAGACAAACAAGTTGGACTAGAGAAGGAACAACGAAAAAGCCAGAAAAAAAATTAAAACAAAGTTAAAGATTCAAGAACACTAAAAAATAAAAATAATGAAAAAATTGTATATACACACAGAGTTGCTTTTTCCAACACTTCCTCCCAATTTTCAAGATAAGAAACCATGAATCAAGTTATGGGTTAAAAGAAAAGGGAAAGAGAACAAGTTTGGTTAGCTCTGTGCAAGTGCCCTTTGGTGGTTATTAGGAAGTCATGCATTGAATAGACTATCACTCACTGCCCGCAGGAGGAGATGCAGCAGCAGCAGCAGCAGAAGTGGTGGGAGTGGAATTGACGGAGGAAAGAGCTACATGGGTTGGGCTAGAAACATTTTTTACATCGTGGTGTTGGCTCACGATGGAAGGCTGTCTCCTGAGGGCTCCCTGTAAAGAGGAGGCGCCGGTCTGGAATGTGTAAACTACGTCCATCTGCAAAGAATCAGAGAGTGAGATAGCTTTGTCCCACAATCAAGAGGAAAAAAAGGAAGTAGGAGAGTGGAAGGGGAGGCTGGGCAGACAAAAGATACAGATACAAACAATCAGTAACAAAAGTAGAAGGTGAAAGGGAAGAGGGAAAACCCAGTACTCCCCACCAACAGTTTCAGCAGTTAATCCAAAGGTAGAACTATTAAGCAAAGCGGCACTAGCCTTTTCTCTTCTGTTCTCCCATTTATTCCTGTGCTGGCAACAGATGCAGTATGTTAAGTTTCGGCCACATGTTAAATGTAAATGCATGGAACAAAACCTTTTAAACCTCTTATTTCTTATTTCAAAGCAGCATAAAGATGGGGACACTGTTGTAGAGAAACAACAGTGAGAAGAGAGGTGCTTAACTCCTACATTAACTTCTCTGTTGTTTTGAACGTGATGTTTGAAAGCAGCTCTGAAAATCTTTTTACGCTCATGTGGGTATGATACAGATGTTGCTTGAGTTATATCGTGTACGTTTGCCTATAAGGTGTTGACAGACCATAAGGTTATAAGTGTGTTGGATGAAATAGCAGGTGGTTAGAACCCGATTTTAAAAAAGTATGCTGCAAATGCAGTGGGGAGACAGGAAATGTGCACTTAAGTGAATCTTTGAGTGACCTCAAAAGGCAGCTTGTACAAGTAGAAGCTTTAGTGAGGTAAGAAGTGTTCCCAACTGTTTAGAATTAAGTGCAACAGCAGCTTGTGATTATACCCCAAAGCAAAAGACACAACAGCATGCAGAAGTATTATGATCGCAGACAGTATCTGCTTTACTGCCCCGATTTGGTACAAAGCAGGCACAGAAAAGCAGGTGTTACTGGCACAACCCTTCCTCCTTCTCTAGCTGCTGGCAAGTCATTCCAGATCTGCTGGAAAGGTCTCCTGTTAGGAAAAGAAAAGCTGAGGCTACCCTATCTGGATACAGACTCTTTCTGTAGTTCTATCATGCAAGCAGTAAAAAAATAAAGTGAAATAAAATTCCACCGAGTTCCTGAAGGAAGATAGATATTGAATACTCTGGAAATCTCTAGTTCCAAGAGATTTAATTTCTGGCTTCAACACTGTTTGATCTGCATGTGACAATTCTGTCACACAGAAGAAAACACCCCAAACAAATGAACACTAACAATCACCAAGACATCTCACTTTTTCAGTGTTTGTGGTTGCAGGCAGGGCTCTTTGTTCAGTGAGCATGCAAAGGCTCCATCAGTTTGGTTGTTCTCTCATACACTGGGCATGGCCAACTCTTCCTCCTTTTCCTATTGGCTTGAAATTAGTCTTTTGAGTCACAGTAATTTTAGACACACCACACTATGTCTTTTTGTACCTACCATTCTCTGTGTCTGGAATACAACATGATGCCAGATCTCTCTCCCTCCAAATGTTTCACACAGCAGCGTTTCCAAGTGATGCACAATGTTGACTGTGAGGGGATGCATATGAACCTCAGAACCCACAAGCTACCTCAAAGGCATGTTGCAGGCAGTGACTGACATGCAAGAGTGACCCTGTACAGGTGATGTAAGATGGTACCAGAACTTCACGAACTATGTTTCAGATTGCACGCCCAAACACAGCCTCTGAAGGAGGTTCATAGTCTTCATTTCTATCCTCTATATTTGACACATGGCACTTTTTTTTTCTTTTTCACCATGCACTGTACAAGGATCCAGTCTCAAGGCGGCCCTGATTACAACTCCCACACATAACAGACAGCTTGTGTTCAGAGGAGGCTTGAAGGCATTCATCCTATATGTTTTCTTCACCTTTTGGGCCTTGTTTTGTGTCAAAGAGGCAAGCACATGAACTAAAACAATGGCAAATTTCTACTGATGTTTTCCTTATACAATTAAAAGGCAAGGAGAAGAGAGTCTTGAGTTAGCATTAGCAGAAGAACACCATCTCACAAAGCTCTGTGATCCTGCATCTTCCTTCTATTCTCCGCTTACAGTCTAGCATCTCCATTAATTTCTCCTTGTTGCTAGGACACACAACACACTGTTTTTAAACAGTATAAATCCAGCCTTCCCCAACCCAGTCCCCTCCAAGAGGGCTGGACCACGATTCCCATTATTACTCAATCAGCATGCACAAATGTCATGCTGATTAGAGATGGTGGGAAATGCAGTCTGACACACCTGAAGGTCACCTGAAGGTCAAGGCTGATGCAGTCTTTGCAAGACTTCTGGCAAACAATAGCATGAAAATGGTCATTAGTATATCTTCTTCTTGAATCTGAGGGAATGGGAAGAAGAGCTGATGATGTTGGACTGCAACTATGGGAGACCACAGCCTTAAACAGCTCTCAAAGCATCTGAGAGGAAGTCTGTGGCCCTCTACAAGTCAGGTCTGTATAAAGACTAGTATCACCCTGTTCCACTGTGCCCACATTATCTCTTTTCTTCTGCAGGGACTTCAGTTTCAAAACACGGAATGAATACACTAGTTAGCAAAAATGTCTATAATTTGCTTATACAAAAATCCTTGCAGGCCCTAGCCAGAAAAATAACAGTAATAGTTATCACGGAACAACCATATGCTGCCAGAGGTTAGGAGTTCCCTGCAGCAAACTTTAATCACTAAACTCAGGTGGCTGAGAATGAAAAAGGAAAGATAGAACAGCTTGGGATATATGAAGGAAGTACCTGAATCTCAGCAAATCTGCCTAGACTGTCAGATTGGCTGCAGATAATCTGCTCATGAGCCTGCTGTAAGAGCTATTAGGTTGGAAGGCATATAAAACTGCTTTCTCTGTGATGACTTCATTCTTATGGAATAGTTTGCAATAGGGTGTATGCTGTCCTCTCTTCTTATTTTTTAGGTTTTAAAGACTTGGGATATTCTATTTTGTTTTGAAATGAATGGATGCCCATTTAAATTTTCTAAATTGAAGGTTTTATCATTGTTATATGAAGCTTGATATACGTTACCTCACAGCTGGACAGGCATCATAAGACACTCAAAACTGGAACACCGAGCCCTCAAATCATTTTACGATGCTCTAGTTTGGCTTGTGCCGTTTAGAATTCCTACAGCACAGCATCCTTACAGGACACCACAAAATGGAAGAACAAGCCCCACCCTAACCTGACAAATATTCTTATATTTTCAAAGGAAAAAAACAAACCTGAGGAAGCAAGAGGCCTGGTGGTAGCAGTTCTTGTGTCACATATAGATCTGTGTTTAACAATCAGCCAGTAACTGTTAATAAGATAAAAACTGACCTGTTGCTGATGTAATCTTAGCTAACTATGAAAATGCAGCTAATTTTATGTCAGAGAAATCACTAGCTTGATGTAAACTGAACAGTCAAGGAATTTGGTTCAAGTCATCAGATTTGTGCAAACAAGCAACTGCAAGCTTGCCAGGTCACCAGTAGTTGCCAAAACCAGTTTTATTACCTATAAAGCAAAAGGTTATGTAACTTGTAAAATGAGCATGTGACTTTGTGACACTATTAGATACATGTATGCTTCTTGTACACTCAACGCCCTATAAGAAAGGGTTAAAATGTGCACCATCTTCATCTGGATTCTTGAAGCTGAATAAACTGAATTTACACCTGCCACTTGTAACCTATGCTTGCCTAGTCTATCTCTGTGTGTATGTCCATGAGGAGGAGGTTGTCAGCTTTGCTGGCTGACCAGCCCCACTACCTGCAAGGTACACGCTACCTTCCACTTTCTACCAGTTCATTCTTCCTTTTTGTGGTGTCCTAAATAAGGAACAGCCTAATTCAAGTTCATTTTCAAAGCCTGTGACAAGAGGGACAAAGATTCATATAAAAAGCACAGGCAAAGCAACGAGGATTATCTTTCTTGGAGTTTTCAGGATCTGGAAATAAACCTAAGAAATTCCATGCACAGAATGAAAAAAGAAGGTCTAGATTTGTTTGGAAACTAGGATTGTTTGGAAGTACCTGCATCACAGAGACAAGGAGAGAATGTTGGCATCAAATTGTTTGGTTGTCTCATTGTGCAAATAGAGAAATACAGACAATCAGCTCAAAAGCAAGCAATAATTGTTCAGCTCATCGTATCTGTCCAGCTTCCGCTGCTCCAGTGTCGTGGGCTTATGCCATGTGCAGCTAACTGGTTTCCAGCTCCTCCAGTAGCAGTATGAATGTCATGTTCCTCTTTGTGACATGTAACCCTGCTTTTATTGGAATGGGCTCTTGAAAAAGCTAGGAGATAACATTGTGAGGAGTTGCCACTGGAGCCCAAAGTCTCTAGGGAAGAAGAAATTGACATTGTACCTGAGTCTGTATTCTGTTGAGGCCTCGGAACCACAAGATCTGTCCCCGCCGAAGTTCCATTTCAGCATGGTCAATTTCATCCATACCCTCAGGCAGCTCCTCATCTGTCATGTCCTCCTTGGCAGTGCCATGCCCAGCCTCCTTCAGGAACTTCAGCTGACTGGTTGGAACGGTGCAAATTAACTGTGAGAAAGAAGGGACAGTGTAGATTAATATAGGGGGATTAATTTCATGTTGAAAATAAAATCAGCTACAATAGGATTTCTAAAGTCTATGGAGTCACATATCATCATGAGGCAGGTGCTGTTCCATTTTTCTCAGTTTCTTTGATTCAGGCATACCACAAGTATGCACACCTCTTCTTTTCAGTGACTATTCTCCTTTTTCCTGGAAATAAGATCCTTTATAAACACAAATATACATATGGAACAATCCCTTTTTAATCACTGAAGATGAACGAAGAGATGGAATAGTAATCAATTAAATAAATGAGTAAACAAATAAATAAGCAAATAGAAATGCAATAGTGATAACCAACACTTCTAGACTGGCCAAATTGCAGAGAAGAGTCACTGGAAGTCACGGTGGTGACCAGATATATAGTCTGACTGACAAAGCTATATGAGCCGCAGTAGGGTTAATTTTTCTGTGTATTCTTCTTTAAGAGGCCAAATACTAGGGAAATGAGACAGAATGGACTTACAAATAGGTGCATGTCAAAAAAACATAAACAGACCAAAAATAGACTCATCTGTCTATTTCTGCTCTTAAACCTGCATGCCTGCTAAATTTAATATGCCATCAGCAGAGAACTGGCCACCATCTGTTGTATAGCCTGGGTTCTTGGTATCTAAGCATAGAAATACGGTGATGTTCTTGGAGGTAAACAAATGGCTTCAGTTATTCATTTTGTGACATTACTTCTCTTGTTTTTAAAAAAGTATAGGATTTGCAGGGCAGGGAAATACCTTGGCCTGAAACCTGGGATGACATGTGCTGGGCCAAATTAGCAATACTGGTCTGAGTGAGCACAACTTGCGAAAGTTACTATTTTGGACTACAGATACCAGAAAAAACCCACCTCAATAATAAAGCACAAACCATATTTATCTGTAAAGAGGGCCTGTAGCTAAAATCAGAGCAGATGTCTTCCTCTAATCTGCAGCACTAAGGTTAGTCATGCTTCCAGCTAAAGAGTTACTTGTTAGCACTTATGAAAGATTCCAAGATGGCTGCCATTCTATCATCCCATACAAAGGCAAAGACATTGCTTTGCTTTTGGTATAGGAAAGAGGCTAGTCACACTGCCGAGCAGCTTCGTTCATTGCCAGCACAGCAAGGAATAGGATCACATGTGTTGTGTGGGAACTGTGATTCTTCACTAGAGGATGGTTGTTTGATCTTTTACCTGTCCCCAAAGCAGCTCTCCTACGCCAATGAAAATACACCAGAACCACTGGCTCAAAGTGAGACCAGAACAACTGAATGGCTTCCCACCAAATTGAACAATGATGATCTGCAGCATAAGGAGAGAGGAAAAAAAGGACAGTCAGGAGAGCTTCATAAAAATGCAATTAGAAAAACAATTTTTATTACTTGCCTGGATGAAAAGCAGGATGTGGCCCTTGCACCCTTAACAGGAGAGCAGAATCAAGAATTTCATCCAATGAGTTTTCCAGTGCAATGTTTAGCCCTCTCAAACAGTACATGCTATTTACCATTTATGAAACTCAAACATATCATTAAATCAGCCTTCGGCAAACATGGTCACCTTCAGTTGTGTTCCAATGAAACTCCTATCATCACCAGCTAGCACTACCACCATTGCTGGGGGCACCAGTTTGTCAAAGGATGTATTAAGCAAACAATCATTCAAGGTAACAAGTTACAAGTCACTTTCTAATTAACTATATCAGTACCAGGAAAAGGGGCAGAAGGCAACAGGTAGAAGTCTTTCCCCTCTGACCTACCTTGAGACCTCCACACTCTTGCATCATATTCAAATAATGCCCTTGATATCATAAAAGTGTAAGGGGAACCTTTTACCAATGTGACATTTCAGAAGAAAGGTTTGTGAGCACCGTCTGTAACGTATTCCTAACTATGCAGGTAGGGATTTTGTACCTGTCACTCAATGATACTCATATCCAATTACATCAATCTAATTTGCTGTGGACCAGCAAAAGAAATACTGATCACTGTTTCTGCTGGCATGTTACCAGCACTGTATAACGTAACGCAGACAACTGAATGAATATATGCACCAATGTGCAACAAAGACAGACGTTGCTCTGCACATCTTGAAAACCAACAGATGATACTAGATAGCTGCATGTCAGAATCCCTTTCTGGCATCATTTTGAGAAGGATTGTTAGAGAAATAAAGGATCTACCTTGTATCCTGACCAGTAACTCTAGGAAGGAGAAGCACATAGCTAGGCTTTCAAATACTGTTAACTTCAAAGGAGAAATAGACATTCCTAAGGTGTAACTTATATGAACAGACTGCAGAAGGATGGCTACCAGGTGTAAGGCTAACAACTGGAAACAGTAATTTTGAATTTAAGTGGAAATTCCCCTTCTTGGAAAGTGCTGTACCTCCTCCTTTGTTGACAGGAAGGATTCCTCAGCAAGACTACCTACCACCAAGGGGAGGAACTTTCTCTTAGCTCCCACACTAAGTTCAAATCCTGGAAGGAGGTTCCTTACTGCTCATAAAGGTGAAAACTACATATGCAAAACACAAGAAAAAACTTTATGAGGCATAAATACACTAATAGGTGAATAGTTACAAGCAAAACTGAGAGATATTGGCTTAGATTAAGTTCAATGTGGAGAAGTTGAGATGTCTAAAAACAGGTAAACCAGAATTGATTGACTCATGAAGTTTCTGTCTTTGATAGTAATGTTTTCCTTTCTAGCCCTCTTTTCCCCCCCCCCCAGTATGGGTAGGAAGAATGCCCGAATCAGAAACCCTGAGAATGGAAAGGCATTACAAGCTTGAATTTTCCCTTTGGTAGTGGTTAAGGGATGGGGCAATCTTCAGTGCTGGCCTGCAGAAAAATATTTCATCTTGATGGCAAGAATGCATTCACTTTTTTTTACAAGAAATAACACTTCAGAAGACATGGCAATCAAACATAGCACCCAAAGAAGCACAATGTAATAATGGTAAGTCAATGTGTGGGTAAAATGGCAGGCTAATCCACACAGCAACTTCCTGTTGTTAGCCTACCATGGACTCAATCAAAGGACAAATCCTACAAACTGTGGAAGTAGCAAATCCTTTCAAGGAGCAATTTGAAATGCTCCCCAACTAGGGAATGACCCCTTGCCTGATAAATCAGAGGAATGCAACTCTTAGCCATCAATGTAAAGGGAAACAAACAAAACAAAACAAAACTTCTGATCTCCATCCAGTCACAGCAGCAATAGAAACTCAAGAATCCAAAGGTGGTTTTCAAACAGACCCAAGCAAAGATGTTGACTTTGTAGGGACTGAAAAACAGACCTTTCTGTACTAAATCCAACTTTCATGTGTTGTTACAAATGTTACCCTAATTTTGTCTTAAGGAGTTTGGTAGAACTTGGGGGAGCAATTCAAGGATTTTGAGCTAACATTCTGCTCCAAAGGGCATCCCCTTCTTGCCACCGTGAATCAGGTACTGTATTTGGTTTTGCTGCTTCAGTTGATCCCTGTTTAAGATGCATGACTGATATATACAATTCATCCTCCACTCAAAGAAGATTCTATAAAGTAACTGAGCATAAAATGGTGTGGGGGGCTAGCCTGTGGATCCATGAACTGCAGTTAATCAGCTGGCACTAAGATTTTTTTTAAAATGGAGGGTGGGTGAGTGGGGCCCAGCACAAAAAGTTCACAATGCTGATCTTCAAGGCCATCCTGATACATGGTAGGAAAAAAAAGTACTGACCACGAATCCCTCACAAATGTCACATCTCCTCTCAAAATTAATTCTGCTGTTCAGTGAACTGAACAGACTGTCTTGTCTGTCCCATTTTCCACAAACTTCCTTCATCCAAAGGAAAAAAAAGATGGCACAAAAAGCCCTCAACATCTATGTTATTCAATTGGCTAAAACATAATGCTACTCAGCTGAATTCCAGAGGACTTAATTTCTACTCTGACTAGGTGAAGGCCTGAATGACATATTAGCCTAGTGTGGTGATTATTTGGAAAGGTGGCTAAATATACAGCCACTTTTTATTGCAACCATAGGAAAATTTATGATTTTGTGGCTCTCGTGATCAACATAGACTTTTGGACGCAACTTGTTGTCAGACATTTCTCCTCAGGGTTTTTTCTTCTACTGGATCTGAAAGCCCTTGCAAGAGAAATATTGTAAATGAGCATAAAGGTTCTATTGACTTTATTTTGCTTTGGGAACTTACGGGGCAGCTTTTTTCATCTGTCAAGTCCACATGTGGTTTAAAGATCAGGAGTTGTCAGGACTCCTGATTTGTGTTATGTTCATAACTAAGTTCATGCATCAAAGATTTAATTTTCAAGGAATGAGGAGAATACTGCCCCAAGCATGTTGGGAAGCTGTATGCACACAAGACTTCCAGTGCTAAAAGTTTTTTCTTGGGAGAGGGTAGTCACCACGGTAGTTTGCTGCAGCAAACAAAAAACAAAAAGTCTAGTAGGGGTGCGTGATCTCCGTTGGCTTGGGAGCCAAGTTCTTTTCCCCAGATACCTCTCTTGGGCTGCACCAGGCCCAGAAATGTCTGTGAAAACACACACATTAAAAACAAACAGGAGTACCTGAGTGTCTATTGAAGTTCTATTTTAGAGGGGCTTGAGAGAATTCCCCCCAGGGCCCTAAACTGAAAAGTACCATTCCGGAGGCTTCCAGAAATTATAAGTTATTTTTTAAAAAATTCTGACAGAGACAGGGGAAACCTTAACATAAAAATTCATTCATATTCCTAAATATCAGTATTAAAATGAAAGACATTTGAGAAAATTTACAGCGTAACCTTATGCTTTTTATTCAGAAGTTCTCATCATGTGCTTTTTGGACATTACTGCTGTTCAGGGGAAGAGGGCAGCTTAGAAGAGTAGGAAGACTGGGAGCCCTCCTCCCTCCTCCATGTACTTGTTCCTGAAGAGCTGAGCCCATTAACTGCTGTTCGGCTCTTGACACACCTGTGCTAATATGGGGCAGGGGAGATAATTACTTAGGAAAGGAGGCAGGCTATTAGCTACCATTCCTCTCCATTTTGTTCATACCTCAACTGTTTGGCCTCAGATACGTTGCATCAATCCTGCAACTTTATATACCTTTATATTATAGTGGGAAAAGGAAGCTACATGTACAGGGCATCATATTTGCTATTCTGCACTATTGTGATGAAGCAGTAAAGGAGTAAAAGAAGACTGAAGCAATCATACTGCCAATAAAAGTGTTAAGGGTAGAGAGAAAAAAAGGCACACACAAAGGAAGAGTCTAAAATGAAAATAAAACTTAAGAAATTACTTAAAATACCTTAATTGCTCTTCAGATTAAAAAAATTGCAAAGTTATGTAACTATGGGATAGAAGAAACTCCTGCTTGAAAATCTGAAATTTATAGGTAGCAAAACAGAATTTTATAGTAGCAACACTCTTTCCCCAGGCTTTGCAGTTGGCACACAAACACACAGACAAAATCCAGAGACTTCTTAAAATAGTGCATGGATATGAGAAATTCCAGAAACCAGCTGATTAGACTCAGCCTGGGAAGTGAGAAAAGGGCCCTGCCAATCAACCAGGAAGGAGTACCCCCCCCCAAATAACTAAAGACTGCCCCACCTCAAGCCAGTGGAAAATGCTGGTGAACACCAGAAAAACTATTGTTAGGGCATTTCATGTAATTCTTCTCAAACTGCAAGACCTTGTCTAAGACTAGAGCCAAATGGAATTTCCTCTAACACCATTAAAAGTATGCATAGAAACAGAAAATTCTCTATTAAACTAGTATTTCTGTTCTTCATGATGGAAAGAGAACAGCTACCACAGATGAAGGCCTCTTTTTAGAGGCTGAGAAGATAAGTAATCAAGGCATTTCTGGAGGAAAAAGAGCTTTCCCCTCTACCCCATGATATCAAGTGAACAAACTTAATCTGCAGAGGCTGGAAAAAAAACTGACCCAGGACTGAAGCCTACTGCAGGAAATAATAGAAGAGAATGGCCGATCCCAGTCCTTTGGGATAAACAGGAAGCGTTACTAGGAAACTAGTTGCTTCCCTCATGGAAGTACCAAATGAAAGGCTTAATTAAATCGCCCTGCAGAACTACAGTTGAGTCACCCTTACAGAACAGGAGAATGGTTACAGAAATAACATACAGAGAGCCAGCTGGATAAGACTACGGACCTAGCTGTCTTTTTTTTTTTTTTTAGAAGAGAACATCACTTGCAAATACAGAATGTCTGCTCCTGTTCCTCAGTGGAGGAGGACAGCTAGCATGGGATGACAAAAAACAGGCACTCTCTGGTTTCTCTAGGTGCAACAGTTGCTCCCTGGGGTAACCTTTTGAAGAGAGCTACAGAACTCTCTGCATGACATGTCTTGACTGGGTTCTGGCATGTCAGATATTATTATCATGCCTAATGTCTGAATAGTATTGGGTGTATTGGATGGGGCTGCCGTACTAAGATTAATAGTAATACGTAGGTGAAGGCATACATGGAATGGAAAGCAGTCAAAGTACCATCACTAAAAGAAACTTGGATGGGGTTTGAGACAGAAACTTGAGCTTTCTTCACATATACCCAGCTCAGGTTTTTGCAGAAGCAGGGAATTCACAGCTTGGAGACAGGAACACTCAGTCTGTGTTTTGAGGATAATCCCCAGACAGATAAGGACATCAGAGTGCATTTCTTGTGACGGATGACAAACATTCTGTTGTAATATCAGTCAGAGCAATGATGTATCAACAATTAACATAAGAGTTAAATATTGTCAAGATTACATATACACTTTGTGTTACTGGTTCTAAGAAGGACTATTAGGCCTGCTTCAGAACTGGAATTGTTTTTTCCTGTAATTAAAATGCAAGAATCCCCACAGTGTTTTGCTTCTGTTTGATCAGTGTCTGTGCAGGCTAGCACAGAGCATAAGACCTTCATTTTAAATTTGTGCTTTGGAAATACATGCTTGAGATGTATTTGAGATCAAATCTAGACTGAATAGCCCTGTCCCATTTTTGGAGTGGTAGTGGTGAAAAACTGGGTCCTGAACCTAGCATGACAGCCGGTATTTGCAAGAAGTATTTGGCAGCTAATGAGATTTTCCAGTGCTGGAGATGACAGTGAAAAAACTGATGAATTCCAGGGAATTAATTCCTTCACATAATTTTAAGGAAACACAGGTAATCTGGAAGAGCCCTCCACATTTCTGACAGTCTCAAAGATTGGTGTTCTATGAGAATCCAAGGTAAGAAGAGTCACCCTGGGTGGGTTAAATTGGAAGTCAGAGCTGAGCTGCTGCTGCTGCTATCTGGGCCTGGAGTCCCTTGAAAGCTGTTTGGGGTTCTTACAGGATGGGAAAAATGTGGGGCTGTTTGGCAGCATTCTCCTCTTTTTAAAATGTGAATTGGGCAGTTTTCGTCTTGCTCACCCTTTTTTTGTTAAAGGACAATTTCTCCAAAGTGTTTCTCAAAAAAAAAAAAAAAGGTATGCTGGTCAGGTTTTGGATCTTACTAGGTACCATTCTCTACCTTTGCATAGCCAAAAGATTCTACCCTCCTAACACTCTGGAAGCCAAAGCTGAATTCCAATTGCTAGTCCCAGTTAAAGAAGACTCACTGAATTAACTATTAAAGTCCTGAATGATAAATCAAACCTATGCAAGTCCCACTTATTCAATGTGTTTAGTTCAGAAAGGACTAACAATTGGGTTTAGACCCAGCTTTGAACTAAAAGGAACCTAACAAAGTGTCTACCAGAAACACAGGAAACATGGAAACTTTCTGTAGCGTCTCCTCATAAATGGAGCTGTTTTTCAAGGTTTTATTCTATTTATCATAGACGTGCAGGTGAAGAACCTAGCCATCTCTGAAAAAGAGAAGCTTCTGCTCGTCAGTCCTATCAGTCTACCGGGAGCTCATCTAAGTCTTAAGGCAGAACTTGCCTTAGACACAACAGCTATAAATAGAGCCGAGGCATCTATCCTGACTACACACTAATCCCATATTACATCATCTGGTTGAGGCTACAACCTGCAACAAAAGCAATGGCGTGACTATGGTTTAGAAGGCTTGGTCCATTCCTTGCAAGGGATGTTATTTAGGTTTGCTAGTAATCAAATTGCTGGAGTGGAGGGTGGAGCTGCAGGAAAAGCTGAGGCAACAGCAGATGGCTTGGACAGCTCAATTATTGCAGCGGGCTGGTTCTCATTTGGGAAGGGCAGATGGAAAATCTCCACAGCCGTTGCCAATAGGGAAACTGTCATGAGGGAAAATTCTGCCCTGGAATATTTTTTTGTCTTTCCTTCATCACCTTCAGAGAGATCACTATCCTTCCTGTTAGAAGCAACTGAATCCCTAGGAGATTAAGGCCCAGGCTGAGGGTGATCTCTGACAACGAAGTGGGAAACACACCCACACAATAACTGGCTGTCCTTCTGCCTGAGCAACCTGAGGAAGAAGAATCAGGACAAACAGCTCTGTTCCTTTTCTTACTTAATGGGGATTTAGGGTCTTGAGGAGAGTCAATAATACTTCTCTATCTCTCTTTCTACCTCCTGCACAGAGATGTACCAGATGGACTGGGAAGAAAACATCTGTGGCTTTCTTGTTAGGCTCTGAGGCAAGAGAAAGGATACTGGCAACCCATGGCTCTCCACACCCCCTCCCCTGAACTGTGAGGAAAGGAGGAGTGAGATTTATAATCCCTCTGGTGATTATTATTAAAATGGTTGTGGTATCACCTGCCTCGAAAGGGGATGATCTTTAGAGATTCTCCTTAGTTCATGGACAAGGAGAATATGCTTAAGTCAGGCAGTGATCAAAGGTGACTCTAATTCTCCACACAAAGGCAGGAAAAAAGTTCTCTCCCTTGATAAAGTACAGCCAAAATGCACTGTCCCTTCTCCATTTGCTCTAGTAGCTACGGGTAAGGTGGGGAATAGAAAATCCAAGTGCCTGCCCTCTCTCCCTGCCTGATAGGTAAATTAGCAGAGGTCTCTGTGCACCATTCCACATTTAAGAAGTGCTCATCCTGTTGGGTCAAAGCCCCAAAACTAAGCCCCAACAGTGATGTTGCTGTTTCCTAGAATGTAATACTTCCTTGCTGAAGGTCAGAATAAGAAGCAGGTATCAGGCAAGAACATTTTATAGTCTCCCATTTCACAGGCTCTCATGTCTTCAGTTTAATCACTTTGTTTCTTTGTGTGTGTTCCTCCCAATCATAATAGTGCATTTTAGTTACCTGGGAAACAAAGGTTCCTAGCACCACCGTGCAAAATATGGGGTTTCGGAAAATGGCTTCAAAGACATTTCTTTCACCATGGATTTTGCGAGCATTGATCTCATTGAAAAGTTGCATCATGACAAAAGTGTTAAAGACAATGGTGTAGTGTTCAGAGGGTGGAGAATGGAGTGGACTGTTCCGGCCACTGTCAATGTCAAAAAACTTCTCACCTATCAGTAAAAAAGAAAAAAAATCTTGTTACCTTCATGAATGATGTAATTGCACAACTCAGTGCTGAACGCAAGCCCTAAGCCACGGCTAACCACAATAATGTTTTGCATTCTGTTAATCAGCTCAGGCTCTGAATAGCACAAAACCCTCTCTTTGAGTGTCCTGATTTGTTGAACTAGCATCACCTCACTGATTTCAGAGAAACTGTAGCACCACTTCATAGGACCAACCTAGCAAATACAAAAAGTGAAGTGTAAATTTTATAGTTAATGTATTCTGGGTGAATTAGACACAAAGCAGAAAGAAGAGACTAACCAGTACATTTTAGAAATGATTCTGCAATGTTTTTCCTAGGCTTTTTACCCCTGAGGAGCTAGAAGTAGGAAAACTGAGTGATTTTAAAATAACAATGTTCACTTAGCATTGTGCTTTTCATTGATAATTGGTAACTGCTGTTCAAGAATGAGAAATTACTCCTCTACAACTCACTGCAATAAAGAGGAACTAAAAACTTGCCCCTTTGAAAGGGGTGAGAAATCCACTAGATGTGCATCTGAACTCAACAGTATCACATCCAAGTTGATTCTCCCCACCCTCTTCCTGGCAGTTCCCACCATAGAAGGATATTAGCCAGGTATCAGACTTAGAACAGCCAAGTTTCCTGGTATGTCAAGTACTGAAAAAGGAATCTTGGCTGAAAATCTTCCTGTGTATTAAACCACACAATCAGCTGCAACCATGAAGATGGATGGATTGATCACTGTTTACCAATTGGAAGCCATGTTTTGCAGGAACAGGGTATAATTAGTTTAATAAACAAACGAGTTAAATGATAATAAAAGGTAGGGCAGAGACGAGAACAAACTTCCAGGGGGCGGTCTAGTGTTGCCAGCGAAAAGCTACACCTGATTCTTACCCGCAAAAAGTAGTGTGAAAATAATAGTTAGTTGGTACACAGCATGCCCCAGGATGTTCTTCATCATGGTGCGGGAAATCAGTGGCTTGTTGCGGCCATAAGGCTTGCGCAGAAGCAAGGACTCTGATGGAGGTTCTGTGGCCAGAGCTAATGAGGCAAAGGTATCCATGATTAAGTTGACCCACAACATTTGGACAGCTTTCAGAGGAGAATCCTAAAATTGGAAAAGAAGTCTTCAGAAAGGAATGCATCTTAGATTTATTTCATTACTGTTCTTCACTTCCCCAAACCCATTCATTTGCAACAGACATGTCAAACATTCAAGTTCCAAAAAGAATATTACATGGGTGGAGCATCCATTGGCAATCAATTTGCATTCCCACACTGCTAATGTAATTGCTGTCAACTGCTAAATATTTAGTTGCAAACTACACAGTACATGCATCTCCCAAAGATCTTTTGTGTAGGCAGAAAGGTATAGCACTTTTTTCCAGCATCTCAACTTTAATTTAATTAATAAAACCAACATTTTCTGATTTTCTTCGTTGCAGAAATATCTGAACAACTGCAGCTACATAAAATATTTTATGTGCCCACTAGCATTACTATAATCTGACATAAATGTATGAAGGACAGGAAATCAGTGGCTCTTCGACACAATAAACAAATAAACTTCCACATTTAAAATTCAACTTATCTCTGACTACAAGATGTTAAGGGTAAAACTCCCAAAAGACTGCTGTCTATAACCGTTCCACCTATAACCTGCCCAGTGCTGGAAATTGACCTTTGGCCTGTTCCATCAAGGTAATGATCTTTTAATTTATTTCCAACCTCCCCCCAATAACTCTAAACATTACATAAATGACCTGTATCATGATCAGAAATGTTGACCATATCGGTTAGAATTCCCAAATAAAAGACACTCAGCTATCAGAAGGAGTCTAAAATCATGCAACACCTTGACAGCAGAACAAGAAATAAAATCCAAAATGGTTAATTCTGAGCCACCCCCATGACTCTCAAGAGGAATCCATTAGAAATATTCCCACCACCCTTCCTCTGATGTTACCTGTGTGATGCAAGCGCCTGTGAAAGCCACAATCACAGCTACTACATTGACCGTTAATTGGAACTGCAGGAACTTAGAGATGCTATCATACACGTTACGGCCCCACATAACTGCTTTCACAATACTGGTAAAGTTGTCATCTGTCAGAATTATGTCTGAAGCTTCTTTAGCCACATCTGTGCCAGCGATTCCCTGAAGAAAATGAGGAAAGGAGAGATGAGCCACAAAGGTGGCATTTGACAGCTATTTTTATTGATTCTCCCCTGAGATAAACTTGTACCTCAAATGGCAAATAATAACACTTAACTGCAGACGGACTCCACAACACAGCAGCAGGAATTAGATATATATATACACATATTTTTACCCCTATGACAGGAAAAGCCAACTTATTTGTACCTAGCAAACAACAAATCTCCACAAGAAATAAAATTCTTAGCCTATGTAAACAGTTTAACTCCTTCGGTGTTTTCCCCCCAATTTGTAAATGTAAAAGCTGTAATGAACAGGTAGCCAGTAACTCCATGCTCAAACTGTTCCTCAGTGAAGAACCCTTAGAGAGATTAAAGGGGCAGACAGGCTTATTGCAAACCTCAGCTACAGACACTTGGTGGCAGTCAATGACTACAGAGTCTGCAATTGCCAAAGTAATCTCAGCAGCATGAAGGAGGTATCCTGTGGTGACCAATTTTCTCTAATGCTTGCCTGCTGTGTCCTACTGATCCTAGGGGTTGTCAGATTCTGCCCTAAGCTGTAACATTCCTGACTTCTGTAAAGTGCAAAAACTGAAACAGAAAATAGAGCAGAATAAAAAAAAAATTAAAGCTTTTATACTTTCTCTCGCTCTGTCTCTCTTCCATAGCCTCTTCAATCAGTGCCTTAACAGCTCTATGATATCAAGGCATACAAAGGCACATAGCAGTCCCCACCTCCTGTTGCTTTTTGTTAACAACCCAGATTTGCAAAATATTGAATCCATACCATAGCAAATCCAACATCAGCTTTCTTTAAGGCCGGACCATCATTGGTGCCATCTCCTGTCACAGCTACTACCTGCCTCTGTTCTCCGATGGTACTGTCAATAATACCTGAAAGATTGGTTAAATACCAGTAGAGGGAAACACAAAGGGACACCATCAAGCATTTGCACATGCAGCTGAACTGCAACAAGTCAGTTTTTGCAAGTCGTTTAAACGATGATTTGTACATGTAAAACCTTAATTCAGAAACATGACACATTTAAAGAACTCTCCCCTTCCTCTCCTCCAGCAGATATCCACTTATACATGAAGATTAACGGACAATATTCTACTAAACATCCCATCAGATTCTTATGTATGTTTTCACAGGGAGGTGAGTGAGGGGTTCTGCTGTCATGGTCCCCTAACCTAAAATTTCCAGTCTCCAGAATGTTTGTGCTTCTCCCCCTTCATTCTGGTGCTGATTGAAATTTTTAATAGTTCTGCATGTTGGGGGGTTTTCAGTCTCACATGCTGTCTTTAGGAGGTTTGGCTAGGAGGAACCTTTCTGGCCGGGGGTGACTGTCAATCTATCCAGCAATGACCAATCATTCCTTCCTGTCTCCCAATTCAAAGACAACCCTGCTTCTCTGCTCTATGTTTCTTTCTCTCTCTTAAGTCTGTTGAAGTCTGTTGCTGAAAGCAGCCATGTTGGTAAGTCTCCTAGCTTGCTGATGATCTGTTCACAACTATAAGTAATAAAATATTTTTATTCTTTCTACTATTGATGTCTCAGTGTGAGTTACTGAGACGTTAAATATCAGTTAATGAGAAAAGGGGTGGTCTGCTCTGAGTAATTTGAAGCTATTCTGCTCTGTGAATCCCTGCACTTCTGCTGTGCAGCTAGAGGAATTTAAGCAGAAATTTAAAACTCTGCAATGCCACATCCTATTAAAATTTTTATTTTTGAGCATTCATGGACTCCTTATGGTTCTTTGTTTTCTCCCTCCTTAGTTTATTGATTTTGACTGTTTAATGATTTTGACTTTTAATTGTTTAAAGCAAGTTTTTGATATGTAATCTGCCTGAGGCATTTCTGTCTCGAATTGGAAGACAGGATACAAATTCTGTAGAACACATAAATAGTCTCTGTGGCTTTGGCTGTGCAGATACAAATGCCTTCTTCTTTAATATATGGAGGCACATCCAGTTGCCAAGGGAAGCACTGCTGCCTCTGATCTCCCATTTCTTCACTTTCTTGAGCACATTTGCTTGGAAAGCACGTTCCACTCCTTCAGTTGACTTTACCTTTCACAAGTGTGTGTTTATCAGTGGGTGAAGAACGTGCCAAGACTCGTAGCTTGGGCCAGATCTTATCCAACTGCTCTTGTTCCACCTGTAGGGCAAAACCACGAAAACACAAACTGGGTTGGTTCTGAACAGGGATTTCAGACTTGTTCCTCCATAACCAGGCCCAAGTGGGAAAAGGTCCCAAGAACTCACAAGGGACATGTCTTTCTGAACAGGCTACCTTCATGCAATGACTTATAGGCAATGGCACCAACATTTCATATAGTGCAAAATCATTTCCTCATTTGTTAATATGGATTCCACAGGATAATAGAAGAGAAAACCAGCCAATTTTCTGTGACTAACATATGTGAAAGTTATGAGCTGGCTCCATCATAGCGGCCACCAGTAAATAATAGTGACAACCAGTAATTTTACAAACTGGGAAAGAACAAGAAAAGCCCATTATCTACCTCCATTCGATTTTCAAGTGTGTTCGGAGGCTCATTCTTAGGCAGTCAAGCCACTCTGAACAAGGTCACATTCACAGAATGGATGTGCAAGGCATCTATGAGAAGGAACCATCTATAGAATACTCTTTATTGTAGATGAATCAAAGAGGACCTTGAACAGCTTCTGTTATCTCACCTCTCCTTTCTCATTGCGAATGAGCCGATTGAATTCCTTTCCTTCCAAGCACAAGAAGTCCTCCCCAGGCAGCAAGATCCCACACTTGGTTGCAATGGCACGTGCTGTATTGATATTGTCACCTGTAACCATCCGGACAGTAATACCGGCACGCTGGCACTTCTGAATAGCATCAGGTACCTATTGGTGAGCAATGAGGGCCAGAGTTAGTAAGTTGGGAAGCATGAGGTGTGGCAGAGAAAAAATGAGGGAAAATTGTATAAGAAAACATGGAAAAAAGTAATCCTATTTTTAAAAAACTTCTACCCTGCTTCCCCCAAAATAAGACCTAACCTGAAAATAAGCCCTAGTATGATTTTCCAGGATGCTCAAAATATAATCCCTACCCCAAAAATAAGCCCTAGTTAAGTAAAACCCCAACTTCCACCATTCTGCAGCAACCAGAAGATGACATGACTGTATTTAAATAAATGTAGATTGTTGTATATGAAAATAAATAATGCATCCCCTGAAAATAAGCCCTAATGCATTTTTGGAGCAAAAATTAATATAAGACCTGTCTTATTTTTGGGGAAACATGGTAATAGATAAGGCATTCTGTGACATTTAATGGTCACAGAATGCTGACTGACTGTTTTTTGGGGACCTGAGGGGTGGGGTGGGCCTGAAAAAAGAGGGAAACAGAATGGAGTTGAGTATGCAGAAGACATTTACACACTAGGCGGAAGCATTTCATAATATAGCATTTTAATAGCAAGGCTTATTTTTCTACAATGAATGAACAACAAAAGCAAGTCCACTATAACTTATAAAAGTTTGAAAATATGGAGATGGAGGTTCAAATATCCACTGTATCATGACCCTTACAAAGTGGCTTTGGGCCAGATACTCTGTCTTAGCCTTACCTTCATAGTGATGTTGTGGGCATAAAAATATGTGATAGCACACATGCTGCCCTGAGGCTCTTGGAAAAGAGTAACTTTTAGATATATAGAGTGACATACAGAAGTGTGATATATAGACATTGACAATGAATAAAAATCAATTGAAGATTGAAGGAGTTTCTCAAGAGGAGCAGGAGTTCAAACAGGTCTCAATACATCTTTGTTTAACAACGTATCTTCCATTAAAGTTGGCTTCATTAATCACTTTGTGCAACTTGGTAACAAGGCACAGGTAATTAGCAGAACTGTCTTAGGATCTTACTTCTAAAATGACCCAGGGATCTCGATGTGAATCTTCTTGGGGGTGGCCATATTAATATGTTGCAGCAAAAATGACAAAGCATCTTGTGATAACTCCAAAAAGTCTTATATGACGTAAGCTTTCATAAAATGCAGCCTATTTCATCAGACAATATTTTGAGAGCTGCAATTCAAAAATATTTATGCCAAATAAACCTTGTTAGACTTGATGGGGCTGCAAGATTCACTCTTGTTGTTGTTAATGTGAATCTTGTGGCTGCTAATGGAATGAAAAGGTACTTCCATCACCACTTAAATGTGAGTTCATTTACAGACTGCTTGGCAGTGACATAGTGGCAGACAAAGGCACATGCTTCCACTCAGAAATGGGAGAAATTTCAATAAAGCCTGCAAACACAGTAAGTTGCCCACACTTTATTAAGCATACAGACCATAAATCCTGCTTCATTTGACTTGATGTCCCATTGAATTGTATCCTCCCCCACTTCCCTACTTTGTCAACATGCAAGTGGCACTTGAACAAAGTAGCTACAGCTCTGTAAACTGACTTTTGCCCCTCTTGCACACCTTAAATAACATTGCCAGACTGCAGTTCCCATACAAGGTTGCAATCCAAGGCTGTTGGATTCCATTTCCCATTATCCCTCACCACTGTCCATGATGGGTTCCTGAGGCTGAGGGGAGTTGCTGTTCCACAATCTCTGGAAAGCCACATGCTTCCTAGCCTTTCTTTAAATGCTAGGATATTAAAGCTAAAAATAAGAGGCTTGGGATCCCTTCCGATTCTACAAATCCTTGGAAAGTATCATCCAACAAAACTGCCATCAATAACAAACTCCACAAAACCCATGCATTAAGTTGCCATGTATGATGATGATCACCCACATACATCTCACTGCACGTACAAGGTAAAACACATGGCTGGGAGATAGAGCCAACTGTGGCTTCCCAGCACATGCGGTACCTTTGTAGCCAGGCAACGAGTTTGTGCCGAGCAGTGTTTGGAACAGGCACCACTCTTGCCTCTAAGAAGATGTAACCTTATTGCCTTCCCAATGCAGCACTGCTACAGACTATCTGGCGCCAAGAGGTGGTTGGGTGAGTGGGTGACTGATGGGGATTTCTACCACTCTCCTGCTATGGAACAGCCATGGAACACCAGGTCACCCTCCTGCCTTATTATCCACCACACTGACAGCAGTGGCACATCACATTAATAATTGTTCATACAGAACAAATCTGAGGGGGGCGGGGAGAGATATTATTAAGGAATCAGAAAATTGAATTACAGCCTCCTGAGCAAAGTGCATGCAGGGCATCTGCAAAGCAATTCTCCACCTTAGTTATTTCAATATCTAATTAAAGAAAGATGTATGCAGAGGAGCGGGTTAGTTCTGAAATGTAATCAAGAGGTAAGCATGGGATGGTTCATTGTGTGTTCAGTCAATTGTCTGATCATCATCCTTGTAAGGAGATTGTGAAGTAGCAAGACAAAGGTGGTTGATGTCCAACAATAGATGTGCCCCTTCTTTTCTCAGTAATCTTCCTTACCTGTCAGAATTGCTGCTATTGTTTCTCTGTGTTGAATTTGTAAATTGTTGCCACAGTCAATTAGCAGATTTCTTATGTCTTTATTACTAGGTGCATAGAACAAAGAATGTTGACATTTGCTGTGTTTCCTGGTGTTGCAGCATGATGGCAGGAGAAGCAGTGTTTACCAAAACTGTCTCTTTTATACAACTCTTAAATACGGCTGTCAGCCCTTTCCTGACACTTTCAAGGATCTTTAACACCAGCACAGTAGGGTAAAGATTCAGCAGATGTGAATTTTCCCCAATACTACAAACCCATGAAGGAGAAAGCTCTTAGCTTTCAACTTTCTCCCTATAATGCTGCCAAAAGACACAACTGGATCAATCAGAAATGGAGGTGGCAACTCTATTATTAATGTCATACGGGCTCATTCCTATAGATGCAACTTTATTGACACAGCCTCACAACAGACACTGGGTGACTGCCACTCAAAAATACAGTTACCTCAAACCTCTGGTTGATAATGCAGAGGCACTGCAACAGTTACGTATTCATTGGCTCCAGAGCAGAAGACAAGAAAACAGATAGAATAAATCTGGTCTGAAGATCAGATGTTCATGTACTGTATTCATGACAAGGAAGCAAGGTGTATGAAGATTCAGAAACAAGAGGAGGGGGAGAGGGAGAGGGAGGGAGGGAGAGAGGGAGAGAGAGAGAGAGGGAGAGAGAGAGAGAGAGAGAAGCTAAAAGTGAGGTAACAAAAAGTCTGAATGAGTCTAATATGTTAAAAGTTGCTATTGGTGATCTCAGTAGGAAAGCAGAGCAAATGGATGAAGAGCAGCAAGAGGTTATCAGAGAATGGAAGGGCTTTGGTAGATAAGTCAAAGAGTTCCAGGTTTGGAAAAGGCCAGATTCCAGGTAGAACTGCAGGACTGAAAGTGATGGGGCAGAGTTGTGAGTGAGGCAAGTGGTGGGTGAAGGGAATCTAGAAACAGCAGGAACAAAGAGCAAGTCAAATGGAGAGAGTGAGAACCAAATTAGAGGGAATTGCTACAGGCATGAATGAAACAAAACGAAATGAAAGGGAACTATTTGGGTACCTCAGGACGAACAGGGTCCTCAATGCCAACCACAGTGATGCAGGTAAGGTCAGACAGGATCTCATTTTCAGTATCCCAATCTGGCTCAGCACCAGGAGGGAAATCCCGGAAGGCCAGGCAAATGGTCCTCAGTCCCTGACAAGCCATGGGCTCAATCACTTTCTTCACCATTTCATCTCGATCCTTCACCTTAAATATTCGTGGTTCCCCATTCTTGTCCAAGATCTTTGTGCATCTGTATCAAGGGAAAAGAGATACAAAAGGAATTATCATGTATCTCAACCACTGAGTTTTATACAAGGTTAATATCAAGCGCTTGCTTTATTGATGTATAGATTATATACATGTCACAAAAAGAATTACACTACAACTTTTTCCTCCCAAGGAAGGCTGTACTGACAGAAGCCATAACAGGATATCTTATTAGACACATAGCAAACCAATCCCCTTCTGTCATGGAGAGAAAACAAAATACCCTCTGACCTGCTTTGACCATCCCCTCATGAACAAACAAACAAACAATTCACAAGGAGGAATGTGAGTTCCTCTTCAACAGAGACTGCACATCTCCTTTCTCCTAAGTTTAATTTCTCTCTCAATAAGGACGATAGAAATTCTTGGCTTCATTGGGCACCCTGTTTGGAAAAGATGAGATGCAAAGTAGTCTTATGGATAACCAAATCTGCATCCTTTCTAGAACTCTTTGGGATGTAGCAGATCAAGAAACCTCCAGATGCTTTCTGTTGAGGTTGGAAAAAACCTGACCCTAAAGAAGTTGTGGCAGATGATGCTTCCTACCAGCACCTCAGTTGTAATGTGCCATTAGAATGCAACAAGTAGGAAGGGATAGCACAGAACTAAGTAGCTCATTTAAAGTCATGGTTTTGGGATTTACTAAATTTCTGGCCCCTCTCACCCCTACCATTCTCCTCCTGTGTCTCCACTCTCTGTGATCATATCTTACAATAAGCTGCATAGAGAAAAGCCTTTCCTGACATACAATGGCCTGTGAGTATGACTTTAGTATCAGAGGGGAAGAGCACCTTGTGGACAGAACTGGAGAGAGCAAAGGAATGTCTCAAAGCAACACAATCTTTTCTTGAATAGCAAGCACCACTGAATATGCCCGCCTCTGTAGAAACTATTTCTGTCACTTCAAAAACACACAAAAACCCAACAGTCGTTAACGCATACTGTTAGACTGATGTAAACGGATAAGATAGATAAAACTTTATTATGGTCAAAGGACTAGCCACAAATAAAACATAAAAATATATAAATATACAGAAGTATACAAAACTATTGGGATCGAATGCAAAGCAATAATTGGTTCTGAGGTTAACAACAACAGCCTCAAAGCATCTTCCCTAAAGCAATTCAAGAATTTCTAGCAAACCATGCTCTAACTACAGAGGCTCATCCGCTTTTAGGGTCCTTTTTCTAATGCCCATTACAGCAGTAAGAAATTTGGCAACCCTATGTGTAACCATGGGATGGGAGTCAGAGAGCAGCACATGCATACACTGTTGCTCCGTACAAGCAGGAAATCGGCCAATCAAAGGGGAAACAAGTTCTTCACACAATTCCTTGTAATATGTACACCACCACAAGACATGTTTTGTTTCTATCTGCTCCATTTCACATGGGCAAAGGCGCTCTGCCCAGGGGGTCTTTTTATACCGTCCCTCCTGGACTACTGAAGGTAGTGTGTTAAGCCGGGCCAGAGTAAATGCCCTTCTATGCCTGGGCTGCTCCAACTGGGCAAAATAAGGTCTCAAAGCAACACACTCTTTTCTTGAATAGCAAGCACCACTGAATATGCCTGCCTCTGTAGAAAGTATTTCTGTCACTTCATAAACACACAGAAACCCAACAGTCGTTAAGGCATACTGTTAGACTGGTGTAAACAGGAAAACAAAACAAAACAAGAGACTGCAAAAATTACACAATTCTTGCCTTTAATGGTTAAAGAGTACCATAAGTAAAATGAAGAGAAAACCCCTGCTATGAAAAGCATGGAAATAAGAAAATAAGTCATGTACACTTAATAGAGCTAAAATCAAAGCAATTCATATTTTGTGTGGGAACACTGAAAAGAAATTTCATACTTGAAAACCCGTTATTTTGTTTGGTTCCACGTGAGCCTTAATTCTCATGTTCTATTAATGAAGGGTTTATGGAAAGCATTACAGGGACATGTTCCTATTATTATTTTAGGCTGCAATAAAGTTTCAAGCTACTGTTTTTGCAGAAATGCTGTTTTGGGTATGTGTTCATTTAAGTGTAATGGCCAGTCCCTTATTCAGGGCTTGCATTTCTTCAGAGTGCAGAGTAGCAGGGGATGAAAACTACTCAGCTAAATTTGGGATTTTAGATTGTATTTTCTTGAGCTTTTCTATAAAACATGCCCAGGAAGCATGCCAGCATCTCTAAGCATTCTCCAAAGCCTAAAAGACACCCAGGCCTGGGAGTAATACCATCATGGGTGGCAACTTTATCTTTATTCCCTAATAGGGATAGGGAGTGGAGGGAAAACAGAACTATGGACACACTTGCATACATATGTACATGAGTATGCATGGATGTGCATGTGTACATATACATTATAGGAAAGCTAAATCCTTGTCTGTAGTCTGTATGCACATAATTATCCCCTTCTCTTTTCCCCTAAGGCATTTCCCTCAGAGATACATGTCTCTGCAACCAGACTGACAAATGAAGCCATCATTTACCTCCCAATAACCCAATCACAAAACAAAGCCCTAAATGCAAGATACATAAGTGAGGAAAATCAGTTGATGTGGTAAGAAGAAGGTGGTTTGCACAACCTGGGGGATCACCTCTTCTAAATATATGATTTAAGTAAATTAGCTTGCCTCTGGATAATATCTTTTCACTTTTCTATACAATAAAGGGACATCTTCCAGAACGAGCAAGGCAAGAAACCAAATTAAGAAAGCTTGCAGACTTTTTCCCTGCACTGTGTACTACTAGAGGTTCTTTAAGATTCCCAAGTCTTCACTGTCTTCCCTATTTTTCTGGGAATTTCTCTTTGTTACAAATAGAGTTCACCATTACCAGGTATAATATGTTGTACAGAGCTCCTGAAAGTGTTTCAAAGGCCTTTTGTGGCAAAATGCAGACATAGGCATTAGAAAAATCAAAAGAGGACTCCAAATAAATCATTAGCAAAGAAATTACTTGCGCAGAAGGATCTCAGACGCTCCTTTACTGTACATGCGGAAGCCCCCGTCTGGGTTCTTCACCACTGTGCTCATAGACTTGCGCACGGAGTTGAAGGTGTAGACCTTGTACAACTTTTCTTCAGGCACTTCATTGCGGACAGCTTGATAATCCTGTTTCAAGTCCAGCACAAAGCCCAGGAGTGCACACTCTGTCTTGTTTCCAACTTGACGTGGGAGACCCCCTTCTTTCTCTGGAGGCTAAAATTTCACCAGATAAATGCATGATCAGCAATTGGTGGTAAATCACATGTAAATAGTCACAACCACTGCAAACTATCAGACCGAGTGAGCAAAAGCCAGCATGGCAAACAGCCCCTGTTTCATCAAAAAAAAAAATCAATGTTTTTAAATGCTTCCCATTTGATCTGAACTAGATCAAACAAGAAGCTCCAAAGGAAAGCCAATCATGGAAACAAGAGGATCCAAGAGGAGGAAAGAAAACCCTAATAATAAAGATGAATAAAATGAATAAAAAATGACTCAGAATTCTTTCAGTTAATGTAAACAGCTTAAACTCACCCCAAAAATGTAGAAGAATTTACCAACAATTGCAGAAATTAAAATTGTATATTACTGCCGCCAAGAAACCCACATGAAAAGGATAGATCAACATTTATTAGAAAATAAAAACCAGGAGAATTATTTCTAGCATCAGATTCAAATTGAGAGAGAGAGAGAGAGAGAGAGGCATGTGGCAACAAAAAGAGTTAGACCCAAAGCTAGTTTTTGCATCTGAAGATGTGAGGATACTAATGGTGGAAATTCAAAATGAGGCAAGAAGTTGCTGTTAATATATATGCCTCCAATGAAAATCAAGAACCGTTCTATGAAGAACTTAAGAAATAGTAATGAGAGAATATGATGAGTATTGTATACTAGGAGATTTAATGCTGTTTTTGATAGAGATTTAGACATAAACTCAGGAAACAGGAAAACAAAAACAACAAGAAATATGTTGCCAAAATCTGTTTTGCAGCTAGTGGCTCAATTTGGTTGATGTCTAGAGAATGAGGTATCCAAGTGCAGCAGACTTTACATTTTATTTGGATAGACATAAAAGTGGGTCAAGAATCGATGCATGTTGGATCTCACTAGGTTGGATGGAAGAAGTACAGTCAACCCTCGACTTACGAACTTAATCCGTTCTAGAAGTCAATCCGTAAGTTGAAAAGTTCGTAAGTTGAAACCAAATTTACCATAGAAATGCATTGAAATGTAATTAATGCGTTCCTATGGGGAAAAAAATTCAAACAAAGTCACTTACCAGGTACTGGCACCCGAGAAAGCCTCTGAAAGTGGTGCTTTGCTGGAAGGCGGGAGCAGGGGGTGGGGGGCAGGTCTGGGCCCCCGCTCCAACCCCAGCGGCAACGTGCCACTTTCAGGAGCCTCCCGGGGCTGGAGGGTGGGGGCAGGTGTGGGGGGCAGGCTGGCCCCCCCACCCCCATGGCAAAGTGCCGCTTTGAAAGGCTTCCCTGGGTGCTTTTGCACTGCCTTTTTACCTGCTGAGCAAGCCCAGGGAAGCCCCTGAGACCCAGCGCTGATAAGCTGAGAGGCAGGTGGGGGGGGGAGCAGAGAAGACCACAAAATGGCTGTCGGGAAGGCAGGGAAAAAGCTTGAAATACTGTAAAAAATTGTGCTTTTCCCCTGCCCCTGGGAGGCTTCTGAAAGTGGTGCTTATTGTGTGTGGGGGGGAAGGGAGGTTCCCTGCCTTCCCCACGTGTTTTTTTCTGTTCGTAACTTGAAAAAAGATCACAAGTCGAGTCCATTTTCCCTAGTAGAGCCATTCGTAAGTCGAAATATTCGTATCTAGAGCCGTTCGTAAGTCAATTGTTGACTATATTGGAAATAGACATCTTCCCTAATACATCTGCAATTTGGTGCAATTTGAAATGGGACCCAAATTTATATATTGGATAAATCTATAAATACAACCCTTTAAAATGATACTTTTATAAAACAAATAAGAGATGGACTCATTTTTAAAACTTAATACGCTTCCAGAAATGTCAATGATTACAGTATGGGAAGCAAGTAAAGCCTTTCTCTGGGGGTTAATAATAAGATTCGCAGCAAGACAACAACAAAAAAGAGAGAGAGAGGATGGCAAAATATCGAGATCTGGAAAATACATTGCTTTTGTGTCACAAACAGTTAAAGCAAAATCTGAGTAAGACACAATTGAATATGAAGATAAAATTAATACATCAATTGAACATTCTAATGACAGAGAAAATGGTGAAAAGAATAAAATTCACACAAATATAAACTACAAAAAGAAAGAGGAAAATTTGTAATTCAGAACTTGAAATATAATTAATACATCAATTGAACATTCTAATGACAGAGAAAATGGTGAAAAGAATAAAATTCACACAAATATAAACTACAAAAAGAAAGAGGAAAATTTATAATTCAGAACTTGAAATATGAAGAAGGAGTGATAAAATCTAGACAGGAAGAAATAAAGAAATGGCCACCCTAGATTCAAGGACAAACTAGATGCGATGCTAAATATGCTTTATTCTTTGGCAAATTCCTTCCAGCACAGATAGCACTTTCAGAGGTGCTGTTCTTCATAGTGTAGGATGAAAGAATTAAACTCTCCCTCCACACTGATCGCCACCAGCGTCTGGCAAGTGATGCTGTTTCCTTTCCCCCAACCCCAAAGTTACTTGTTAAATGCAGAGAGGCATCTAACCTCCTGCCCACTTTGAAGCCAACTCTCAGGCCCTTGGAGGAAGGGCACTACAAAAAGCATCAACAATCATCATGTAATTGAAACTATTTTAATTTATCAATGGTGAGAGCCTATCACTGGAATGTTAACGGTAAAAATGCCACTAAGTAAAAAAGTCCAAAGTCAACCAGCAAGACAGGTGTTATTTTTATCTTTCAGAAGTCAAAGCCTTAATCTCTTTAGGCTTCAGTTCCTAGTGAAAAAGGGTATTAAAAGAATTTCCTGAACTGTCAGATTTGCAAGCTTGCAAACTGACGGATGAGTATTCAGATTTCCCCTTGTCACTTCCAAATCAGAGTAGCTATCTATTTGGCACTTCCGTACCCTTCAAGAGAGTCTGGAAGACTTATATTTTAAACATTTTGAACAGAACTTCATCAGACGTTTGGAAATTACACTATTAGCATTCCAAGCCCACCTTGAAAAACTAATTAATTACCAGAGTGGTCCGGTGGGCCAGATAGGCGGGGTATAAATAAATAAATAAATAAATAAATAAATAAATAAATAAATAAATAAATGTTTTCCCTTAAACAAGACAGGGTCTTATATTGATTTTTGCTCCAAAAAACGCATTAGGGCTTATTTTCAGAAGATTTTTTAATCTACATTTATTCAAATACAATCATGTCATCTTCTTCTGGTTGCTGCACAATGGTGGAGGGCGGGGTTTCACTTAACTAGGGCTTATTTTTGGGGTAGGGCTTATATTGCGAGCATCCTGAAAAATCATACTAGGGCTTATTTTCAGGTTAGGTCTTATTTTTGTGGAAACAGGGTACCAAGTTCCCTTATCCAAAATCTTGTTGTTAACCTATCTTGTGTACAGCCTGAACTATTTTAACTCCCTGTATTGAATTACCACTAAGTATGAAAGCACTAGCTGCATTACTAAATGTGTGGCTTGTAATAAAACCAGTGCACACTTAGTGACAGTTCACAGTAGTGAGTTATGCAATCTATGGACATGGGAAACACCAAAAGGAATCTGACTAGTAACCAAAATACTTTTTTAATCTAAATGTTGCAAGCAATTTTTTTGTCATGTGAAACACACTGCCCTCCCATTCATCTGTTGCCTCAGCACCTACAACACAGCATGAGGCTCAGAACAAGCCAGCACCAGAATCATGTGATTCTCCTCCTTCATTATCTAGTAATGCCATATCTGGTAACTATAAACCTAACTGGAAAAGTTACACAAATGGTCCTTGGTAATGTAATTAACAATTTATGATTAGAAAAAAAGGAATGCTTACTAGTTATCACAAAAACCGCTTTCTCCCTTGCTGATAGAGATTTGTTCCCAAATTTTGAAGCAAAAAGAGAAGTGTATTTCAACAAATGAAGGGTACTGTGTGTTTTCTGCTGTCAGTGTATGAACTGGGCAGATGATATATGTAAATGGAAGCCATATTCCAAAACACATTCATGTCATCCAGCATATGTTCCTTCTCCCAAAATAGTGATTTATTTTGTTTGAAGTTATCCTGAGTGAGATGCATGTAGATATGAAAAATGTGGAACAGGCAGTCTGCTTTTCTCCCTCCACCCCGCCATGTACCATAACTCTTCTGTTTCTCAGTGAATACACCGCACATCAGTACCTGATGGGGTCCGTTCTGTCTTTCTCTCGCTCTCACACACACAAATGGAAGAGCCCTCCTTGAATTCCAAAAACCAGAGGTGATGCTGACACTAAAAACCATCATGACTGTGACCTATCTCAGCTCTTGGTGTTCTGGACTACAACTCCTGGTCTGGATTTCTTAGGTTTTGCTGTCCAAAATATCTGAAGGGCATCAGCTTGCCAAGTCCTACTCTAAAGAACTACATGAACAGAACAGACTTCCCACCAGTGGCAACAGGACAGATTTCCAATTAGTTTCCAATTTAGGGCAGATGCAAAGAACCCATGAACCAAACCTCCAGCATGTTTGGGCATAAGTGCACAGATGGAGCCCCAACTTGAAACAATGCCCTATAAACATGATGAAGAGGACTGTGTGTGCCCACTCCTTCCATCACAAAATGGCACTCCTCAGATTGATAGTGTGTGACTAGGCCATCTTGAACTCCTGTCCTCTGCCAGATGAGACAAAGGGTTTCATGTTCTTCCTCCTTTACTGTAAAGTAAAAGTAGGACTCACCAAGATTTTAGAGGTGTAAGCAGAATTTATTGCAACACCATTGACAATGAGGTCCAGAGTCTTGGGTAGGATGGCTTCTGGGTCAGGGATCTGTCGGTAGTGAGTGTCACCCACATAGGCTTGCACCACAGTCATGCGGTTCATAGTGAGAGTCCCAGTTTTGTCCGAGCAGATAGCTGTGGCATTGCCCATTGTCTCACAAGCATCAAGGTGCCTAACGAGATTGTTATCTTTCATCATTTTCTATAGAAGCAAACACAGGAATTGCTCAGAATAGGTTACAGAGACTCAGTGACACAGAGGTAAACTGATAATTTAACTAACATGGAAGACATTAAAGGTAAGGCTACAGCCCTTGCAAATTGGCCTCTTTAGGAAATCACGTACTTAAAAAATCCTCAGTTCCAACCGTCAGTGATAGAAGCACAGAACTATAATAATTCCGTCTACCATAATGTAAAATCTTAGAATCCCCATTAAAGTGAAAATAGAAAATTACACACATAAGAAAGAGACCTAACTAGGTTTTCAGTGTTTGGTTGATGTAATTTTATGCACTGATATTAGAAAACCTGCTTCTTCTAACTGTAGTACTTTAAAATTATTTCTGTCTAAATCTAGACCAGAAAGGGTGCACACGCATCCTGCATTCACAGGCATCCTAAGTAATCTGATCTTTATAAACTGCAAAGAGAGTGGATCCACACTTTCCAGATGAATGTCCAATTTG